CATAGGATCAATAAGCATACCATTATTTTTAATTTTTACTGCTAGTATTTCTAAATATAAATCAAAATGCAATGCTAACCTTTCAAAAAAATTAATATATGAAATCTACGTAAAAAAGGTTTACTAAATTTGTGTATAAATTGCTATTAAGATAATTGTCAATTTAAGCAAAATTTCTAATTTTCTTGTTACTCTAAGATATATCTGTAATGTTAAGGTTAGCAAGTCCTTTCATATGGGTGTGTATAAATAAATAACTGAGAAAGGTTAGCATATTAATTAAAGTTCTATATTTATAATTATGCTACCAAAGCTAATCACCAAGGAAAAACTAAGTGCTCTAGTGGGAATTCCAAGTAACATTAAGTACAGTGCCAGGGGCTTTAATTAAAGCTCGACATCTCATCTTAATGGCTAGCTGTGATGATCAGGCATGGATGGAGGTCTAGCCTAGTGATCTGCTGATTACTATTGCCTGAACTAGGAGGTTTAATGGACACCATCCCTTACTGAGCCAAGAAGACAGCAACACTTCCAGCTGGTTACACTGCACAAATCACAAGCTCTCAAAATCTACATCTACAGTGAGGAGAGACAAATCCTACCAATCCTTTGTCAATATGATAGCTCTCCATTATTATACTTGGCTCTAAGGAACAAGGGTGGCCAGAGAGTGTAGTGAAGTACAAGGTAAGTAATGACAAAAATACAGGTGCTAGAGAGAAAAGTGAAAATAAGTAAACTGTTCAAAAGCTAGGACCTACAAGAAGTATTTCAAGGCAGAGCCATTGCAGAGGTGCAGGTCATCTCTAACGCTGACTGACAGCTGACCAGAATGAGCAACCCAGGAGCACTGTCGTTGTTGTCACTGCCTCCAGAGAACTGAGCCCTTGGTTTTATGCATGCTAAGCAAATGCTCAACCACCAGCCACACCCCCAGCTGGGACCCAATTTTCTAATGAGGCTTTTATGATAACATCATCACTGCAGACAAAAATGTGCAATTTCAGAAACCAATCGGATTGGTACAGTGACAATCTGAAAAGAATTTTTCATTTTCTCCATTTCTTTCTTTAATCAGACTATTTGAGAGTGAAGCACATCTGAGATGGAAACTGCTTTGTGTCAGCCTCAGCACCACACACTCTGTGGTAAATGAAGGTTTTAACTTGACAAATCTGTGGCCACTTAAGAAGAAGGAGGATTTATCTTTCAAAATGGAATGCCTGAAAGATATAATACAAGAAGCTTGCATTCATAATAGTGAACAGGGCATAAAACAAAACAACATTATCCTAAGGAAACCAGAAATGAAGACTACGGAATTCTTAAAGAGAAACGCACAACATCACAGAGTAGTGAGAAGGAAGAGAGGACCATTTCCTAAGAGAGAAACTGAAAGAATTCCCAGGGATAACATTTCTTCCGATTTAAGTTCTAAGTTGAATATAATTCAACTAGAAACCTAAAAGAGGTTTTAGAGGTATATAAGAAAGAGAGTTGACAAAGATATTCTAAACTTCTAAACTTTCCTACTAGAAAAACCACAAAATGGCCTCCTCCTCTTGTATGTACGTGCTATAGAAACATGAAGAGTTGCATGTTAGGTTTACCACTGAGTCTTATTTAAGGGTGTCACTCTGGGACAGGACAGAGAAGCTGAAGGAGAAAACAGGCACAAAGAGCAGAAAGTGATTTCAGTACAGGACATGCTCAAGAACGCCCTCTTCTTCAGAGCTGAGGCCACAGTTATCATGCAAAATAAGCATTTTCACACAAATAAAAATCAGCCTTCAAAAAAATGTTTGAAGTTTTGTGTATGTGTGTAAGTCTCCATGGGTATATGTACACCATATGTATGCAGAAGCCTGCAGAGGTCAGGGGAGGGTGTACGATCCCCTGAAGCTGAAGTTATAGGCTGTTGTGAGCCACAGTGGGGGTGCCGGGAACTGAACCCTGGTCTTAATCACTGAGCCATCTCTCCAGGCTTGAAATACTCCTAATTGAGCCAAAATTACTAGAAATAGAGGCCTCAGAGGCCCGAAGCTAAGAATGGATTTCTGTTGATTGCACTCTGTTGCCAGCTGACACTGGAGCAGACTACAATGCTATATAAAGAGTCTGTCACTTCCCAAGGAAACTTCCTCTAGTTACTGATAATACCACAGCTAGTGAAGGTATGAAGACACCTAGCTAAATATCTGGAGGGAAACTAAACCATGATCCCAAACTCACACTAGCATTTGAAGTCAAACTGGAGAAATGCATTAATCTATCCCAGCTAAGAATGGTCAGGGCCTGGCCCTGGAAAAGGCAGCGTCTTGTGTGGCAGCCTCATCTACACAGCTAAAAGCCACCCACAGCATCCACTGAATTTGGGGTGAGGAAGGAAAATCAGTGAGGTGCAGCCTTGGGTTTGCAAATGAAATTATTCTCAGAACCTCAAAAGCTCTAAGACCAGGGTCCTCCTATTCAGAGTGCCCTGACCTCAGAGAAAGGCAGACTGGATGGGGCTGTGCAGGGCTCGACAATGGGGTACAGTTGTTTCCAGTTTCCCTGACAGTTAATCGATCCCCCTAGGTTAACCCACCACACATTCTTATCTGTTGATACCAGGAAAGGCTAATGGTATAAAATGCTATGGTAGCTATTTTTATGTAATAAAATTAGGCGACGTTTTTCTGGATTCTGTGTTTTATATTAGCCATATATTTCATTTTTCCAAAGAAAATAAAAATTATAGCTGAGTATTTGTGGTACACGCCTGTCATTCCAGCACAAGGGAGGCTACGGCAGTCGGATGACCAGTTTAAGGCCAGCTTGAACTACACAGCAAAATCTTGTCTCAAAAGCTAAGTATAAAACCAAAACTTAAACAAAACATGAAGAAAAAAAACTCCATTCAAAGTAACTGTTAGACTAACATGCAAGTGTTTTCATCTCATCAGATGATTCTGCCAAGTTTCTGGCAACAAAGAATCCACAGAAGGGAAGAAAGTAACTTTCTTTGTATTGTTAAAGTTAAAGAAATTATTTTAAAAGGTTGGAAATAAGCAGTGAGAACATATGCCACTCACTGTGTGAGATGACTCATACAAAATCATTCTGAACACACAGAACTTACCCTAACACATTGAAAATGTCAAAATCTACAATGTGGTAAAAATAATATTTTCCTTGTCAAAGAATTTCTTCAATTGCTGCAAGTTAGTCATCACTCACGAACCTAGTGTCAGAAGCAAGATGACCAAGTGTTTTTGCAAAGCAAAAGAACTCACTGACAACTGAAGGTGTGTATTTATAATACCAAACATTGAAAGCAACAAGGTGCAAAGAACTTAAGTTCCAAAATCAAGGACCACTTAAAAAGATCAGTGATTAAAGTGGATCATTCAGTAGGAAGTGTTACTTGGGAAAGTATAGACGGTGAACCCTGGGAGAACAGGGACAGTTCCTACCAGTTTTATGAGTGCCTTCAGCAAGAGAGGCAAGACATCACACCTGTATCAGGAAAGTGTCACGGTACCGGATGCCAAAGTCTACTTTTCCAAAAAGACAACAATAAACACTGACAAGAGCATCAAACAACTCTTTGGGCTAGGAAACTAAAACCTACCAGTTCCTATGAAAACATTCAGTCAAGAAAACCGAGAGAATTTCATAAAAATAACTAATTCTGTGGTACTGTAAAGGTCAGATTCTCTGTTCTCCAGCTCTATGGCAGCCCTGGAAATAAGCCCTGCACTGGTGCCAGGGGGAGCAGAATAGGCCTTGTGCTCACACAACTATAATTTGTTTTTATGTCTCATGACTACATCCAAAGATCTGTGTTAGCCAGGTATGGAGGCTCATACCTATAATCCCAGACCTCAAAGAGGCTGAAGTACAATGCTTATTGGTTCAAAGACAGCTTGAGCTCGCAGTAAGGCCTTCTCAAAGAAAGACATTTTAATTGTATTTCACAATTGCAAGCCAGGTATGGAGCTGCATGCCTGTAATCTAAGTATACAAGAGGACAGGCCAGCCTGGGCTACATACTAAGCCTTATCTCAAACAAGCAGAACTATAACTGTTTATTCTATTTTTGGAGAGACTATACCTAACAGCCACACGCCTTACACAGTCTTAGTCACTGTGAGCTCACTGGGAACAGCTGGACAACAACAGTCTACACATGACACAATTTTGGAAATTTGTTGTATTTTTGCTTTATGCGTATGCATGTTTGGCCTGCATGTGCCCAGAGAACCCAGAAGAAGCATCGGATCCCCTGAACTGGAGTTACAGTAAGCCACCATGTGAGTGCTGGGAATTGATCCTGCGTCCTCTGCAAGAGCACCTAGAATTCTTAACTGTTGAGCCATCTTTCCAGCCCCATTTTGAAAGTCTTCCTCCCAGGAATCACTGAATGCTGCATGTCAGTGACTGCTGCTGACGGTCGAGAGTATGGATGAGTCAGTCCTAGTGAAAACTGAGTTTATCTCCAGATACTCACTCAGCAGCACAGCTTATGCCAACTGGCAGGATGCTGTGACATTAGGAAACTGGTCTGACTGGGTATCTACTGCTTCATAAATGACATCCCACTAAAACCTCAGAATGGCCAGAGGGAGAACTGATGCCTGGAACTGGCCACTCATTAGAAGAACCAGCATCTTTAGAAAGTACTAGTCATCAAATTAACCTAATAAAAAGATAAGTTACTAAGGAACATTTCCCCAGAGTAGAAAGGCCAACACTATTCAGATAAGAGCGCCCTCAGATGCCCAAGATGGCAAAACAGCAATAAAGTACTTTTAAAAGACTTTATGTTTCAATAATACCACACACAAAATCTGAAATAGCACAAAAAGGTAGACGTTAAAATAGTTTCCAAGAAAAGATTACCGTTTAAAGATATCATATCCGGTAAGATCTCCTTTTACCAAATTGGTAAATAGCAGCAGTGTTAGTTCATAGCCAACTGATCCCAAGACAGAAGAACACTAAAAGGCATTTACCTCTTCTAGGCTGGGGAGCGAAGAAGAAGATACTGTGCGAGATGACAGTGGGTGAAATGGCTCTTGACCAATAGCATGTTGATGGTTCTGGATGTGTATAAAAGGGTTCTGCGGTGGCCTGGGAGGCAATGGAGGTAGGCCATAGGGAAAGCCTGGCCCTATTAAGTGATTTTGTTGCAAGTTAGCAAAATTCCATGCTCCTTCGGGAGCCAGGTATTTCAGGGGAGGTGGGGCAAGGTGTTCAGATGGCAACGAAAAGGGGGAGCCAAATAGTTGAGGTGGGAGGCGCTGTGGGAAGGCTGGGCTGTTGGCTACTTCAATGTCTCTGCTGCTGTCATTAAAGTTAGAAAAGTGGCTACTGTGGTCTGTGCTGCAAGGGGGAGACGGGACTGCTGGTGGGCTTCTAGTCTGAACTTGTCTATATTGCAAAAGTCTTGATTGAGGTGGTGGCATTTCAGCTAGTTCTCGAGTGTCACCTTGATCACGATGAGACAGCTCTCTGAGTAAGTCTTGAAACCTATACAGAAACAAGAAAAAATGAGGAAGAAACCAAGGAGAGGCCCCACTGCATTAACAAGAGCAGAGTCAACCACATGTATGACTTCTGCAAACCAAATCAAAACAGCTACTTAGGGCTTGCATTATTACTCCAACAGGTACTACTCAATATAGCTGTCAAATACCTAACTGTTTTTTACCTTTGTATGAAAGGATCCATCCTTGCCTCAACATGAAAAATGGCCACCATGGACCAGGGAGATAGCTCAGCAGATCTAGATGCTAGCCACCAATCTGGCAATCCAAATCTGACACATGATACAAGAACCAACTCCCCACAGGCTGTCCTCTGACCCCCACATTCACACATACACACACATACCCATACACACAAATACACACATACACACCTATATACCCATACACACCCATATATCCAGAAATAAAAATAAATACCTAAGAGACTGGAGTGATGGCTCACCAGTTAAGAACACTTGGGCTCTTATAGAGAACCCAGGTTCAGGCCCCAGCATCCATGTAGTGGCTCACAATCTCCTGAACCTCCAGTTCTAGAGGAATCAAAGCCCTCTTCTGGCTTCCTCGTGCACCAGACATGCACATGACACACATATCACACATGCAGACAAAATACACATACACATGAAATAAACCAATCAATTTTTAATAAGGTTGTATACTTTAAAAACAGAAATGCTAGGAGGAAGAGGAAGGAAGGGAGGGAGGGAGGGAGAGTGAGTGAGTGAGTGAGTGAGTGAGTGAGTGAGTGAGTGAGTGAGTGAGTGAGTGAGTTAAAGGACCACAGTGGCAGTGGGTGTTTTCCATAGGGAGAGGATGAGGAAGGTGTTCATAGCAATCACATGATGCTGACCACAAACACACTCAGAGTCAGGAGTGACTCCTCAGAGCATTTCACGGCTCAAGGAAGTTAGACATCTACCTATTAGATAAAAATAGGTTTTAGCCACCCATTTACTTCTGTCCTCATTATTCTTTGATTTACTAAGTAAACAAACAAACAAGACACACAGTCCCAAGAATGGTTTGTTTCTTTTGATAACAGACTATAAAGCAAGGAGCTAAAGTCATAGATTACTAGGCCCAGATTTATACAAGAGTGACATCTAAATTCTCCATATTGGAGAGTCAACTGAGAGAACTTTGTAGTATCCACCAACAAAGCCAACACCAGATTTAAAGCTGAAGGGCAAGAGTGAGGCGGAAAACTTGAGTCCTATTCAGAGCTGGCCCTGGGCTACTGGGATACCTGGAGAATGTTGTCTCTGCTTCATCGTCAACTCTGCTGGCGAGTTTCCACTCTGCCCTCACTGGCGGCTGGTGGAGGCCCATGGATGGCTGGGGAAGATGTGGGAGGTGAGGGTGGTGATGGTGTGGATACGGGATGCTGCCCTGGCTGAGATAGGCATGGTGCTCACTCCAATGCTGTAGCCGTGCCTGTTGCTGCCTCAGTGTCTCCAGAGCTACACTTCCATGTACTCGATCTGCAGAAGTAGGTGTGGAAAATTGTTTTTGTTCATTTGGAGCACCAAGTTGACTTTATGCAAAGACCTATACACCCAGTTTTTCTTCACAAAGACAAAGAAATAGCTACAATTCAATTGGGCAAAAGTAATATCCTAAATTTTCCAGAGCCCAGAGCTATGATATTGACTCTCTCCTTCATTATGGTATAAATGTTATCACCTGGATAGTTATTATACACATATGTACATACAACACTTGAAGCCAAATTTTATTAGACTAATTGGTTGGGTTTTCTGGCATTACTTGGAGATGTGAATCAATCTTGGCCTAGACTAATACTATACAGGACTTGCCATGTTCAGCAAATAACCTGGGGACTCTTCACATGTGACATTGTGACAGACAAGCTTACCCAAAGCTTCTCCTATAGGCAATCCTGGGGAGCTCTCATCAACAAAGTTGTTCAGAGGTGATGCCAGGATAGGACCAGGCTGTGTGATGGCTCTCAGTGGACTGTGACCGTCAGGAAGCACAGGTGTTGGCTGCTGCTCGGGAACCACAGCCTCTGCAGCAGGAGGAGACTGTGGTCGGTGAGCAACTGCATTATTGAAAAATGCATTGGTGGGCCCCGCCTGAAATGCAGGAGAGAGTTGAGGTGGTGGCTGCAGGGCCTGTGCAGGTACCTGGCTCTGCTGCTGGACCACCGGATTTGGCTGGGGTGCCACCGGATTTGGCTGGGGTGCCACCGGATTTGGCTGGGGTGCCACCTGATTTGGCTGGGGTGCCACCGGATTTGGTTGTTCAGGCAAATTATTCTGCTGCTGGTTTAACAAGGTGTGCTGCTGGGGAATGGGAAATGGTGGCCTGGGTAGCTGAGGAAGAGGGTGAAAATGGCGGCTAGGGATCGCATACTGTGCGTGTGATGCAGGAAGAGGAAGATTTATGTGTCTTGGGTTGAGATTATCTTTTCGAGGAAATTTGGTATTGGAATAAACAATGCTGGGACGGGATTCAGGACTTCTATTCTGTGGATTTGATTCCAAATCAGCCTAGAGGAGAGAAAAAAAAAAAAAGAAACATTTTTAATTGCAAAAAACCCTGAGTTGGAGGCTTTTCATCCTTTCCCAAGCATATCCCACGTAAAGGCTATGATACGCTCTTATCAGTAGCAGTGGGAATGCTGAGGTGCAGCTTCAACCACCTTGACAATTAAATAAGAGTATATTCTTATAGAAAAGATGGCAGAGAAAACAGCATATTAAAATGAGTCTGAAGAAGGGCCACTGCTGTTTTATTACAATGGCCACTTTAATTCCTGCTATACTATTTTCAATTTCACACTTTCTTCTTTAGAAAGAGAACCATTCATTTCCTTTAGCTATAAATCAACAAAATGTGCTCTTTCCCTCAGATTTTATTGTTTTCATATATCCAATCTACTTCTCCAAACAAATCAACATTAATAAAAACTGTATCTAAACAGACAAATACCATGTCACCTCTGTAGATATGGCTGCTGACTTTGGTCATTACATAGTCTGACATTCTTTCTCTTAACAATCGTGGAGGGCCTACTAAGTGCACTGTGCCTGATTCTGAAGATTAAAAGGCAATAGTAAGATTCAGGATATACTGTTGAGAGCTTAGAGTAGGAGCTACACTCGATCCAGCCACTCTAGCCCCAGTGCCCTGAACTTGTGCAGTAAATAAGGTCTTCTGGGAACACTGTACGAACATGTTAGCTGCTTCTTCTTCTTCTTTTTTTTTTTTTTTTTTTTTGGTTTTTTTTTTTTTTTTTTTTTGGTTTTTCAAGACAGGGTTTCTCTGTATTGTTTTGGAGGCTGTCCTGGAACTCGCTCTGTAGACCAGGCTGACCTCAAACTCACAGAGATCCACCTGCCTCTGCCTCCTGAGTGCTGGGATTAAAGGCATGTTCCACCAATGCCTGGCTTAGCTGCTCCTTCTTGACATCAATCAACCAGACCCTGATTGACTCAGAGTGCAAACATCAAGTTGGTGCCATCAAGCTTTGGAGAACCACTGGAGAAAGGGTTTGGAGTTAAACAGCCTGGTTATCTTAAATGCAACTTTGACTGTAAATGTTGATAACATGAAAAACAAGAAGAGTATGTAAAGTGACGCTTTTTCTTTCCCGGCTGTTAAGGCACTCCACAAACTTTCATGTGTCACCTTGTAAGTTTCAGGGCTGAAATGGCCGGTGAGAATAGTAGGGTACTACTTGTTTAGCCAAAGCCTATAAAGCTAGACAAGGTGCTGAACAGTCCCCGAGAACACAGACGTGGGGCCTGGTCCCTGATTTGAGCTGGGAACACTGAGCAAGCTGTTGCAATGCCAATCATATACCAAGAGTAGTCACCTCTCTTACCACTTGGCTCTTCAGGTCCTTGAGATTGCTGTGATCAGAAAATGAAGTGCTCTGGTCTTCCTACGCAGTGGCTGTACCTGTTCATATCTCAGAACCCAATGACGTTCCTCATAAACAAGCATGTCCTCATACAACTCATGATCTTGTAGAAGACGAAGCTATGCTAGTCAGGGACACAACTCTCTCCAAAAGACATGCTGATGCGCACACTCTGACCACACACACAAGGTTATGGTTACATGTCATGGTTGTTTGTGGCTGAGTTGCTATTTTAATTTATTCCACCACTTGTGACTTGACAGAGACAGGAAGGTCAAAACCACAATACTCTGATCTTGAAGTGAGAAAGAGCTGCAGAGAAAGTCAATGTGATGTGTGTCTGAGAAGGGTGTAGAGGAAGAATAAATGGCCCTTTAGAACCCTCCAGTGGAAGCAGCAGTGGCAGATGTACTTGGAGGCAGCTTAGTTCTAGGTGCTATCAAAATCAGAATCAAGACAGGTAAGTGTCAAGCATATCATTGTTTTTAAATTTCTGTTAGAATCTTCTGTTAGAAAGCAAGGCTACCTGATGCTTTACATCCTGATGCTTTGCTTTGATGCCCAGGAAACATAAAAAAAGAACATCAAGCACTATTTAATTCAGTGCCTTGGTATTAAGAGGTGTATTGCAGGAAGGGAGCCAGCTGAGTGACAGTGGTAGATGCAGGCTGCTCAGACCCCTATCATTAGGTATACTTTCTCTGACTCAGTCAGGAAGTTTCCTGGCTGCCTCACTTAACACCACAGTTCCTTCTACGATACGCCCTCTATCAGTCAGAGAAGCTCCTGAGATACTTGTGAGTGAAGGTAGACAACAGCTACTTAGGCAGAGGTTGGACATCCAAATAAGAAGTCTTTTCTCATGGAGTGGGCACTTAGACACAACTTAGACCTCAAAGAGAAGTGGGACCCCAGAGAACTCTGGGAAATCACAATATGAGAGAGGAGAAGGGAAGTATTCTTTTAAAGCCAGAAGGTCCAATAACAGACAGTTGTATGAAAAGAAATGTTGTGCTAAAGAAAACAACAGAAGTAAGACAACCAAAGAAACAAAAGACAGTGCACGGAGCTCACAGCTGCAGTGAGATGCTGGAACTAGTCCTAGACTGTGCGGGTTAAGACAAGGCACCAGGAGATGAAGGCCAAAGAAGGTATCTTTCTTTCTTTACTCTTTTGCTGTGGTTGTGTGGCACTAGCCACTGAACCCAGAGTCTTGTGCATGCTGGGCACACACTACCACTGAGCTACAACCCAGGCTGAGAACTCAGAGTCAGGGAGGTGACTGGACAAGGACAGTACACTTAAGAGGACTTCATCTAAGGCTGATGATGAGAAAGTAAAGAGACTCAAGCACACACAGAAAGAGTTATTTGTTGTCATCAGTTACAGGGCACAATCTAGGTGGCGGCACTTCTAGAGCAGTCATATCTACACGGTGAGGTAACAGGCTTGAGAAGAGCCACCGAGGAGCCAGGACAAAGTAGCTAAGCACTGCACAAGAAAGGAGGGGGCTGGGTCTCACTGAAGTGAAATTACACAGCTTTCAGCCACACTAATTCTACCAACAATGTGTCTGCACTAACATGTTCCAACACAGAAGCAGAAAGAGAGGAAAAGTAGGTAGACACAAAGTTAAGGATCTGCACAGTGGGTATGGAGACGGGGTCAGGCACTGAGGGAGTCACTGCCACAGTCCTTCCCAGGCTAAAGCCACTGTCAATGCGACAGCCGTAGCTCTGTCCTCATACATTTTTTTTTAATCACAAGGAGTCTATAAATCTGAGTCTATTGCTGAATTAAGAAAATCTGAGGGAGGGGGCTGGAGAGATAGTTCAGCAATTAATGTTACTCTTTTTTTGTTTGTTTGTTTGTTTGTTTGTTTGTTTGTTTGTTTGAGACAGGGTTTCTCTGTATTGTTTTGGAGGCTGCTCTGTAGACCAGGCTGGCCTCGAACTCACAGAGATCCGCCTGCCTCTGCCGCCCTAGTGCTGGGATTAAAGGCATGCGCCATCAACGCCCAGCCTAATGTTACTCTTGCAGATGACCCAGGTTCAATTCCCAGCACCAACACGGTGGTTAACAACCATCTCTGACTCCAGTATCAGGAGCTCCAACCTCCATGGCCACACATGTAGTGCATATACATACATGTAGGCAAAACACATACATAAGATGAAAAAAAATTGGAGGTGGGGGGCGGTTTAGAAGCAGGGTTTCTCTGTGTAGCTTTGTAGACCAGACTGGCCTCAAACTCACAGTAATCCACCTGCCTCTACCCACACCCCCGAGCCAGACTAAAGGCGTGTGCCAGCACCACCCTACTGAAATTTAATTAAAAACAAAAAAGAAAGAAAGAAAGAAAATCTGAGGAAAATACAAACATGCAAAGGAAACAACTTAGTAAAAGACAACGGGCCAGGAAGAAGGTAACATGCCCTACTAAACTGCTCTGGAACAATAAGCAGGAGATACTTTGGGTCGATCAGAAGTTCCCTGCCAGAACTACACACCCAATTGACGTGAGCAGCTTACCTGTTTGGACTCTGTAGGCCTTTTCTCTGGTGTTCGGATCTTATTAATTTCAGGACCGGGGTTATTTGTATCAGTTTTACCTAAGAAAATATTTTTAAATCCTTGTAAGTTATCTCCAGTGAACGTAACATTTCCAGTAACTATTCAAACTAGACAAAGCAGAAGGGTTTAACATTATTCACTCATTCTTATCACTTTATACAACCACGTGAGTTGCAGTTTCTCTGCAAAAAAGAAAGTTATAAATAATAAATGGCAGGGCAAAAGCTTCACAAAGGAGAAACAACCTGAAAACAGCAAATAAAAAAGAAAATGGTCCACTTTCAAGGAATTTACAGTCTCTCTTTTTTTAAATTAGACATATAAAAGGTCTTGGTATCCCTGCTTGCTTACAAAGGCTCAACACTTTGTTCACTTGCAAATGCAATTAAGTAAAAATCTAAATGATGTATCAATCCAACTTACTGTAGGGATCTAAACTGACTGTTAGTTAGGGTTTGCATCTAAAAGCTCCCTGAAAGCCCATATGTGAAGTGGTTTGTCCGCCAGCCTGCATGCTACAAGGGAGAGCAACCTTAGGATGCGCGGACTTGAGGACAGATGTGGGCACTGGGACTCCAACCCCTTTCTCTTTGGCTTTTTGCTTCCTTACTCCCATGAACTGAACACAACTCCTCTACCACACATGCCATCATAATGTACTATGAGGCTACAGGCCCACAGCAATGGGACAAAGCAAGGATGGGTCAAATCCATCAAAACTAGGAGCCAAAATACACCTTTCTTTCTTATAAATTGTTAACCTCAGCTAGTTTATCAGAGTGACAGAAGGTAGATGTGCAAACATTTTGAACATAAGTACATGATGGATTACAGAGGAAGCAAAGTTAAAATTTCTCAATACACAATAAGAGTAGACAAGCCTAACTTCACAAGTGTGAAGAGTTCTAGTCTGAAAGAATTAAGCCTAAACTGGGTGTTTTCTGAGATATGCCCTGGCAGCAGCACTAGAACTCAGTAAATGAACTGTCGCATCAGTGCTGACTTACCACTGCACGTGAAGACATGAGAACTGTAATGTCCAAGGCTAAAAGCCAACAGATAGCCCGAAGATGAGACAGTGCATAAGAAAAATGAGGCAAGCTAAAGAGTAAAGCAACAGATACGACCAGAACCAAAACACAGAGAAAACACTGTAAAGAACCAACAAAGAGCTAGTCATGAGTTTGGGGAATGTTAAGCCTGAGTAAATGGGACCACACAGAAGGATGCAGAAAGTCAGAAAGAATACCGGCTGACAGCAAGCTTGAAAACCTCCAAACATCATAAAAACTCTAAAAAGAACCAACATGCACACACCAAAACAGCAAACAGAAACCTTCTCGAAGGCTAAGACCAGGATAAAATAAAAATCTTTAAAGCAGACAGAGAAAGCACACTATATTACATATATATGAAAGATAAGGCTAACAAGGGCCACACACACTCCTTCCTGAGACTGCCCCGCAAGCACTGAGCTGCACCACCTTAACTCTCTTACTTTTTAAAACTCTTTAAAAAGATACTTGCCTGTTTGAACAAAAACTACCAGAAATATTCTTAAATAAACCCACATAAAGGTAAAATGCTCCAGGTGGTGGTGGTACAAATCTTAAATCCCAGCACTCTGGGGGCAGATGTAGGTGGATCTCTGAGTTCGAGGCCACTTGGTCTACAGAGCAAGTTCCAAGACAGCCAGAGCTACACAAAGAAACCCTGCCTCAAAAAAATAAAATAAAAAAGTAAATGCATGACCATCAAAGCCCAGAGAGAAGATTCTGAACTTCTGTAAGTTCTTTCACTGTGCGTGGGGTGTGGAATGTAAGTTGCAAGGTATGCTACAGAAGTTAAAGACACACAGCTCCAATGAAGATACACACCAGCCCCAATACAACTAACACACTATCACTTATGCTATAACTGCTAAGTCAACAAAAGCAATCAAGTGCACCAAGTACACCCTACAAACATCAAACTCACAGAACCGAGAGTTTAAAAATCCATTTCAGTGTGGAGATGTACACCTTTAAACCCAGAACTCAGGAGGAAGAGGCAGGCACATTTTTATGAGTCTGAGGATAGCCTGGTCTATGTAGAGAATTTCAGGCCACGAAGCACAGGGAGAAAGAGTACTAATTATAAACTATCCTAAAGTAACATGCTTTGCTGCTTCCTTTGGGTGGTGCTGCAGGTAAAATGTAAACGAAATATGTATTTACCTCTGCACTGCAGCCCCACCCCCAGAAACATACCTTAAAGATACAAACAGATTAAAAGCAAATGGTCAAAACCAAGAATGCACTGCTGTCATTAGTCAAAAGAAAGCCCAAGAGATACACAGACGTTGACCAAAGTAGACCTCAGAGCCAAGAACATCATCAGGAACAGTTATTCTGTAAATACTAAATGAATCACCAGAGAACACAGCCTTCAAAGTTTGTCTCCTAACAACAGACCCCTAAAATTCACTGAGAACTGACAGAATATAAAGAAATTCTAGACAAGCCTGCATAGGAGCGCATACCTGTCATTCCAACTCTTGGGGGAGGTAAGGAAGAGACATTAGTAGTTCAAGGTCACCCCAGGCTACAAAAGCAGCTCAAAGCCAGCCTAGCTGAGACTTTGTCTCAAAAAATAGACGATAGTTTTCAGAGACTAATTCCTCTCTTCAGAAAGTGACAGAGAAGACAGGCTGAAAGCCAGGAAGGACACACATGAAGACTTGAGCAGCATCTGACCAGCTCACCCTGAGCGCCCAGTGCTTCAGGGTACACACAGAGTACTGAATACTGAACACTGAGAGACAGACCCAGATCCCAATGAATTCAACAGGATTCATGCCATACAAAGTATGCTCTCTCACCATGGTGGAATTAAATGTAGGAACCAGTAAGAGAAAACATCTTAGAAAATCACTAATAATCAGAAGCTGAAACTCACCATTCTAAATAATCCATGGATATAATCTTTTTGGTTTTGTTTCCAAAACAGGGTTTCACTACATTGTAGCTCAGGTTAGATTGCAGCCCAGGTTAGCTTAAATTTCATAATCCTCTTGCTGAGACTATAGGCAAGCACAACCCCACCCAGTCCATGAATCTATTTTAATGTCAAGAGAAATTTTAAAAGTATTGTAAAAATATATTATTGAACTAAATAAAAATGCAAAAACAACATATCAGAATCTGTGGAATGTACTAATGAGGAAGACACTGCACTAAACAGCCATTTTAATCAAGTTTTATACTTAAACTGCTCTTAAATGTTGAAAGAAATTAAGACCTAAAAAGGTAGGGACACATATACTCTGTCCATAGACCAGAGGCTTAATATTGCTAAGTTTCCAGTTATTCAAAAACTGACCTAAAGACTTAATGTAATCCCATTCAAAAAAGAAAAATGCTAGCTTTTCAAGGTTTTGTTTGTTTTTAAAAGGATTCTGAACTGTTTGTGGAACTGGAAAGGAATGAAGTGAGAGCACTACTAGACTGCCTGTCTTCCTGTGGAGCATACACAAAACTGTAGTACTCGGGCTGGCACGTCTAGCATGAACGCAAACACACACCAATGAAAAAGGACAGAGTCCAGGTGTGGTAGGCTGATTTTAGTGTGTGCTTCAAGGTAGCCCAGTGACAGAACAGAACTTTCTATAGATGATCCTGGAGTAAATGACTATAGACATGCCACCAATACAACACTACCACCAATGCATCAGTCCTTACCTCACAGCAACAACAAGTTACCTCAAGGACCCAGTGTGAGAGTTGAAGTTGACGAGACAAGATTTCTAAGGGTTCCACCTACCGTTTCTATTTTGCTCCTGCTGATCCTTCTCTGTGTGCTGATTCTGTGGCTGCCCAATGTTGACAGGTGGATGATGTCCAAGGCCATAAGGGATCGGTGACCCACGTCCATGTGTATGTAACAGGTTCATATTGTAGGCCATTGCTGCTGGGTGTGTAATAATCCGAGGATCAACTGCAAACCTACCCTGGTATCCTGTCCATGGTACCTAAATTATTATAAGAAATAAAGTAATTGAACTGCGTATGTTTCTGAACACAAACTGATATAATGTTGATTAGCAAAAACAAACAAACAAACAAACAAACAAACAAACATACACATAGAGACCAAAATTTTACCCAACTACCATGGTGATATCATTCAACAGTAACAATGGGTAGAGTCACTATACTACATTCTTACTGGCCAAAACCTAGTTCTCAAAATCTTTAGCATGTTAGGAAAAATGGATCACTGTGGGGTTAGAAGGAAATGAGGACTTGAAACTGCTAATTACCCTAATACATCAAAGCAGTTTATACCCTGAATCATTTCTTCCCCACATGGGTGTATACACCGATTCCAGCGAAAACCATCTTTCCAAGTGAAAACTGCATGGTTACACAGTTTCATAGACTGGATCAAAGGACAGAGGGGGAGTCTAAGACCGCTCAACCCAGAATAAGTATTCCAACCTTTCATGAATAACAGTCACTTAATGTTCATTCACAGCGGGCAAAATTTAAACAGGTCATTATTCTAATTAGTGCTTTTAACTGAGTCAACTCTACCTCAAATCACCTTCAAGAAGCTTGATTGCCTGGATACAGGAACCTCTCCAGGTTACACAGACAGGATGACAATGACAGGTGCTGTCATCATTGCTGCAACTGCTGGACGAAGACTCTCAGAAATCTATATACTAAAAGCTTCTCTGACCTGGCCTAATGAAACAAAATCCTAACAGATACTGCTTCAACAGACCACATGGCATGTTGCTAGGCATCTGGAAAGAAATAACTCAGCTAAAATCTAAAGCCTCTGAGCACAGGAGTGACAGTTACTCTGCTTGGCTGTCATGCTTGTGGCCTATCATGGCCAACAAGAGCGGGAAAGCTCACAGCTCAGCAGTTTTCTCCTTCGTGGGTACCGGCAGGAGTGCCAAAACTCTCTGACAGGATCACCTCTGCCTGAAATTACCTCACGTAAATCAAGCAAATGGTTTCCTAGGCTAAAACTTCTAAATTTAGAAATATGTATGTTTCTACAAGTTGAACAAAAAGCACCAAACATTTCAAAAAGGAAATAAAAATGGGCTTATATATAAAATGGAAGTCTCTAACAACGCTTTCTCATGATTCAGTAGGGTTCTAATGTGGCACTATGTTTCATAAAGCATTGGATTTCCTAGACAAATTCAGACCCAAGAGAACTAGACTAAAGGTCCATCTCCTTCAATAACTCCACCACTTAGGAACAGTTCATGACTGAGAATAAAACACAAAAGACAAATAAAAGCATCACTTATACAACTCTCCTCAGGAGACAAAAAAAATTATTCTGAATGAAAACATGTAACTCCTGACGTCTTCATAGTCTGTGATAAACTAACAAGTAACAAACAATACACACATTTTTTTTGGACATTTCAAAACTTAGTAGTTAAGCATGAGTTACTGTAAAAGAAGCTTACGGACACTGTAAAGTTAAAAACAAAACAGTGTATGGGTACTGGGGTGGCTCTGCAGTGATTGTTGAGCACATGAGAAACCCTGGGTTTGATGCCCAGCACTGAAAGGAAAAGGCTGGCAAAACACTCACTGGGATTGCTGCTACGTGACTAAGGAGAAAGAATTAAAATGTCCACTTACAGGCAAAGGCACCGACATGACTACATTCCCTCCATAGACAGCAGGTACATAAAGAATACTTGTCCCAGTGTGAGGATCTATTCTTTGAACGGGGCTTGGAGATTTTCCCAAACTTGGGTGAGGTCCAAGAGGGGGTGGAGGTGTATATGCTCTAATAGGATTGCCAATAAGTACAGAAGGATTGGGCTGAACTGCAAAACAAACCAAAAAAAAAAAAAAAAAAGGAGACTCAATAGCTGTACACAATGACCTTGACAGGAATGCTCTAATCATCCAATAGCAAAAAACACATTTCCCAGGTGACCCATGAAATGCCTCCACCAAAGAACAAATGCGCAGGATAAGGCACATTAGGAAACAACTGCTCCGCAGTACTCGGCTGCAGCTGTGTGAAGGGTACAGGGTTAACTTGTGAGAAGCTGGAGGGGAGTCTTCAAGACAGAGAACCATGAGTGTACAACTCCAGCAGGCGCCTCAAGACAGGCGCAGACAGCTCCTCAGAACCAACTTCTGATTTGTGGTTGTAGCAGTCACATACAGGGTGAAGGTTATGCAGAGTATCACAATGGTATTCAAGACCTTTCTAATAAACTTTATCTTGAAATGTGTACCGTACAACATTTATAGGATAAAAATAACTCTTGAAGACTTATGTTGTGTAACAAGCTATGTGTGCTGGTAACTACAATCCGACCACTTTTCAGAAACTAACATGGTGTCATGAAAGAGTTAGAAGAGTTCATTAGACTACAAAGTTCATATTTGTATATGCCTGAGAGACGCAGAGGGAGTAAATGGAAGGGAAGGGGAGAAGAGAGGAGAGACTGAGAGAAAGACAGAAAGCTCTTTCCCGTAGCAAATTTTGTTTTTATGAAAAAATGTTCTCCTCACCAATGCCATCATTCTGGAAATGGTCACTCTGGGGATGATGAAGGCCTTTCCCCTGTAAAGACAAAAACAAATACACGATAACCTAAGCGTGTTTTAACAATAGAGAATAGAGCTTCTCCTCGGCATATGTAAATTCAATATAAATACCCACAGTTACTATCTTAAAACTATCAGGCTATAATCAGGAACTGTTTTGACTACATCAAGATGACTTTCTTTAGGCCCTCTCACACAACACTGCTGTATCGTCACTTCTCTGCTTCAAAACTCATGACACCTAAAATCCTTTTTGTTTTATATCTTAAAGATTTATTTTATTAGGGCTGGAGAGAGAGCTCAGCAGTTAAGAACACTGGTTCAATTCCCAGCACCCACATGACAGTTCACAACAATCTGTAACTCCAGTTCCAGGAGACCTGACACCTGAATTCACAGCAATGCACATAAAATAAATAAATATTTTTAAAAGATTTATTTTGTCTTACTGTGTGTGTATAGACACACTTGAGAGTGCATGAGCACAGCTGTGGGTGGGTGCTTAAGCACAGCGGTCAGAAGAGGACATTAAATCTCTCAGACCTTAATTTACAGAGTTTGGAAGATGCCAGACTCCCTACACATGTGTGAGGGTGCAAACTCCAGTCCTCATGACTATGAAGAAAGTTTCTTAACCTCTGAGCCATCGTTCTAGCCCCTGTTTTGTTAAGACAGGGTCTCATGTACTCTAGGCTAGCCTCAAACTGACTATGTAGCTAAGGATAAGCTAGAACTTCTGATTCTTCTGCCTCCACCGCCTAGGGGCTGGGATTACAGGTGTGGCCACCATGCCAGTTTTATGGAGTGCTAGGGGTAGCTTTGTGCATGCTAGACAAGCACTCCCCCATCTGAGCTATATTTCTAGCTCCTCAAATTCTCTTTTAATAATTTTATTTTGGTTTGGTTTTTGTTATACAGCCTGGATGGCCTAGAACTTGTGACAGAATGAACTGGCCACAAACTCACAGTGATCCTCCTCCCTCTCTGCCTCCCTCTCTGCCTCTGAACTACAATGTAATGTGCAATCAATACAAGTATTTCTATCCCATGGTAACATCCCTAAAATTGCCTTAAAAATGAAATGACAAAATATAAAAATTGTTTTTCAAAAGAAAATTTGTGTTCTACTCATAGGATAAGAACCATACTAACTAACATGGTTTGATTTTTTTCCCCCAGTATGATTCATAGTGTCTCAAAGTATTCAATTTTCTCTGAAAAAAAGCAAGAAAGACACTGATCATTTTTTAGGGAATTTTAGTTAATTGCTAGGCGGCAATTTAGCAATACAGATCAGAGGCATCAAAACGTACAGAGACTTAATACTGTAATTGCACTTCCAGGGATTTATCCAATTGAAATAATCAGTGATGTGGGCACAGATGTGCAGCATAGTATGATCTATATGTGTGATAAATGCTTAAGATTGGGGGCTTTATTAAATAAGCAAGGGCCAAGTCTTATGTGTCAGTTCTTAAATGATCACAAGTCACCAAGGAGTCAAGGACATCAGTCCTAAGACACAAGGAACTGGATTCTGCCAACCACCTGCAGCAGTATGGCACCAGATTCTTTCCAAGGCATCTAAGAGCCCTGGCAGCCAACATCCTGGTCCCAGCCTTGAAAACTCAGAACAGAAACAAAAGTAAGCCAATCCCAACCAACTGACAAATCTGTGTTCTGAGGCCTCCAAGTCAGAAGCATGTGTCCTTGGCGGGATTGGTGGGACCTGGCCCCTCCTCTTTTTTTGTTTTTTTTTTTTTGTTGTTGTTGTTTTTTTTTTGTTTTCAGTTTTGCTTCCCAGCCATGATAGTGGTTGGTTTTTCCACTGTGACAAGCAGCATCAGACCCAAAGCAAAGAGACCAACTTGGTATAGACTAAAACCTCTAAAATTGAGAGACAAAATAAACATTAGCACTTTGTAAGCCAATTATATTTAGATATTTGCTACAATAATATAATAGAGCTCCCTTATTCATTTAAAAATACTCTTTTTCAGATGGTGTATCATGTAGCCCAGGCTAGCCTAAACTTATAGCCAAGAATGGCCTGATCCTCTTGCTTCTACCTCCCAAGTACTAGGATATCAGGCCCGCACACCACCATACCCAGGTAAAGAATACATATAGCACCATTACAACCCAGATAATCATCTGGGCACAGAAGTTAGCACAAGCAAAAACCACCACGGCTGAGCTAGCTTGGATTTCACTGTTGTTATTATTTGTTTTGTTTACATTTTTTCCAACCTCCCTGTCTCCATGTCCTCAATAACATCCTTAACAAGAGCCCATCTCCTGCTTCTGCCATCCTGCTGTCTATTCAACATCTGCCACCAAAGGACGTAGGGCTAGCTTATTTATCTATGCTTCTAGCATCTAACACATGGCACAGGGTAGTAATTCATTTGTGCAGACTGCTTTGCCAACTCGCAGAAGCAAAACACAGTACGTTTTTATTAAGCTAAGAACATACGACTGTGCTTTAGCAGAGTTGCTCTCAGCTTAGTACCTATTTAGCTAAAGGACCTTCAAAATATTAAGCCATTCATTCCTGTTCATGTTAGGTATAACAAAGACCAACGCTAACATACTCTTTAAATTCAGATCGGCACGTCTAACACCATGCCTACTATAAGGAGTCAGCAGACTGCATTGAGTCCACATGTGCCATCCTCAGAATCTGCTTTTCAGGATGCTAACTCCAAGAAAGGGGTTTTGTTGTTGTTGTTTCATACACTGGAGCAAGCAAGCCAGCTGGTTTTGCTCAAAATAACTATGGCTCAGAACTGAAAATGGCCCTGACCTCCCAACACACATCAGCTCTGCCTGCCCCATACAGGCTCTTTCCAGACTACAGAACCATTTCATCTTCAACAATCCACAAGTTGTCTCAACCCTGTCAAATACCACTTGAAATGAAGGGGTCATTAAAGGATTAGAATGATTTTCTTTATTCAAACATTGTTTTAAAATATAATTCCTTTACATAATAGCCTGTATGGACATGCTTTAAAATGTGTCATTGGGGCTGGCAAGATGGCTCAGCAGGTGAAGGAATTTGCTAAAAGACAGAACTGACTCCCCCAAGTTGTCCTCTATGTCCTCATCTATGCATGGCACAGGTGCATGGGCCCATGCATGTGCACACAACACACACACACACACACACACACACACACACACACACACACACACACGTAAATTAAATTAATGATGTCGGGCGTTGGTGGCACTGGCCTTTAATCCCAGCACTCGGGAGGCAGAGGCAGGCGGATCTCTAAATTCGAGGCCAGCCTGGTCTACAAAGCGAGTTTCAGGACAGCCTCCAAAACAACACAGAAAAACCCTGTCTCAAAAAAATCCCCCCCAAAATTAAATTAATAAATGTTTTTAGATGCTTTAAATAAAAATAAAACATGTAGTAACCCTTAGCAATGCTTTTATTCACCTGTTATCTGTCAGCCTCTAACACCAGAAGTTTTCTGCTATCTCTCACTTTTAGAGGATGACTACAACATTAAGCATGGCTCCCCACGATGCCATGTTCTCACTGATTACCCAAATCTTGGGAAAGTTCCTTGCAAATACAAGACTTTTACTCCAGTCCAACAAGCCAGTGTAAAGCAGGGCCTTTACCTTGGGTGGTGACTGCTGCTGTCTGCTGGTGTTTCCCAAATGCTGCAGTCGTAAAGCTCGGGGGATAAACTCAGGAGCAAGTGGATTCAACACATATGTCTTCTTGAGTTCTAAAGCCTCTAACTGTGCCTTGATCTGTTCAAATGTGATCCCATGTAGGCTATGATTTTCATGACACAGGACAATAAATCGTTCCCAAAACTTCCTGCAGAGAAGATTCAGAAATTGGGTCAGTGGGTGAACAGAAGTAACTAAAGATTCAAATTCTGCCCCCCCCAAGTCTTTAAGGCTAACATTCATATGAATACAATATAGATAGAATCATTCTAGCAAATGAAAGTCAGCTTAGGAGCATGCTACATACAAAACAGAATCACAAAACCTTTGACTCCTCCACACTATTAGAAATGTGTGTTTATGAGCCATATAATAAGGTTTTCAAAACTGATGGTAGCTCCATTTATAGAAAACCTGAACTTCTAGTCCTATACATATACATGTATACAAGTATCATGTACTTCTAGTGATACATGCAGATATACACATCTACAGTTATGCCCTGAATAACAACTAATCAATACATATTGCATACATAAAGTAGTTGACAATGTCGTAGCTGTTACAATCTGTGTAGATATCTGCTATGACAGTCATCTGATGATGATATCACCCAAAACTGCCTTTCTCAGAATTCGTTAGTAACGATTGTATGTATATACTACATATATGAGAATACAAATTTATATGCATATTAGTGTGAATTATAGATTGGAAAGAATTCTGTGTGGGACTAAGGAGATGGCTCAGTTGGCATAAGGCCTGCTGTACAGCATGAAGACTTCAGTTCTGAACTACAATACCTACACATAGACAGCTAGGGTGTAGTACCTATTCCCCAGGAGGATCTCACTGAGCCTCAGGTTCAGTGAGACTCCCATCTCAAGAAAATAAGATGGGATGGGTGGAAGAGCACCTGACCCGACTTTAGTTCCTAGAACCCACATCAGGTAGCACAAAAGCTCACAACTCCAGCTCCTAGGGTCCTGACTTCTGGCCTCCGTAGGCATCCACACATATGTGGTACATATATACAGACACATAAATAAAAACAAATCCAAATAATAAGTTGGAGAGTGAGAAAGATACTCTGATGTTGGCTCCACAGACATGCATACACATGCAAACATACACATGTGCACTCACACACACATACAGGCACACATAGACACACACATACACAACACAAAAGAAGCTACATATGCTAAACTACGTAAAACCAATTCAGTCAGAACATAAACTGGAGCCATAAAGGAAATAATCCATACAAGGGTCTCAAGAACAATCATCCCCTCAAATAGTTTTCTCTTAGAGACACCTGTCATAAACACAACTTATAATACCAACCAAATAGGAAGAACTAAATACATTATGGAAACTATAAGAAACTGAATTTCCTTATTAAACCTGTAAATATTAATCCAGATTGCTGGGGTTATAGGTAGTAGCTTCAAGGACACCATTTCAGAAGCATTCTAAACACTTACTAGAAATAAATCGAGTTTCAAAAGATGGAATTTATATTCCAGACCTGACTTATCTTCTTGCTGTCCCATGGATAGAGCAAAAGACCCTGGCTCTGTTCCAGTAGCTGCATCGAGTAGCGATGCCTGGCATGTTCCTCTTTGGGCTGGCTTCCTCGTGTACCGCATAAACAGTTTTATTATCATTCCTTATCATGTTTCTCATTAAGCTTCTTCTAAACTTTCAGGGACCAGGGATGCTGGAAAGGGTCTCTTGCAGCTTAGTTAAGCAATATGTACTATTTCCTACAAAACAAGCCCTGGGATTTTTATCAGGGAGCACACTCCATGATATGTATGTGGAAGCCAGAGAACAGCCTTGTGACACTGGTTCTCTCCTCCCTTTTCATGGGCTCTCTAGGTTTATGCGACAAAGGCCTTTACCTGCTTATCCCCAAAATGCTTAGTTTTAAAGCTAAAATTTTTTTAGGTTTTTTTCTCCATAAAAGCTCTTTAAAAAAAAGGGGGGGGGCAGTGGTGGCACACACCTTTAATCCCAGCACTTAGGAGGCAGAGGCAGGTGGATCTCTGTGAGTTCAAGGCCAGCCTGGTCTACAGAGAAAATTCCAGGACAGCCAGGGCTACACAGAGAAACCCTGTCTCAAAACTAACAAGCAAACAAGCAGAACCTTAAAAGAAAATGACTATAAAATTCATGAAAATTTGGAACTGAGTTTTATTACTCTATATTATATACATGTATGAAACTATCAAAAATAAATTTAACACTAAAATTAAGTTTTGACGAAATTAAAACAATAACGAAGTGGGGGGCAGTAGACAGTATAAAATTTAAACTTGATCACAGATACACGCAACACACACACACACACACACACACACACACACACACACACACACACACACACCCTACCTTGGGGCTCTGGCACCAGCTCACCCTGGCTCGAGTCAGCTTTTCGGGGAGGCTCCTCTGAACCACCTCATCTCATTCGTCACCCCTAAGAGCTCCTCATACTCTTTTTTCCATTTATTCATTTAGTAAACACTATGCAGTGTTCTTAGTTTGTTGTCAGTTCTTCCTTTAAGCACCACAGAGACGGTGGTCTGTGCTTTGCTCACTGACTATCTCCAAGCTAGAGGAGTGCTGACATCACAGTCATGGGGGGGGGGGTGTAATCTGCTGGCTACTGACTGACTGAATATATAATTAGGCATGTACCATGAAATGCCACTTAATAACAGATCTCTCACTAATATTGGATGTCAGGTAACATTAAGCCAGATTTTAGCTCACCATGAAGTCATACAGATAAATACATGCATAAGGACATAAATTACTCCCTATTTCCCAATTAAAGTCTCTCTAAGTTCAGTGACAGACTTACCTACACCTTCCAATTGAGCACAGAGCAATGGGGTCTCCCACCACAGCAACCAGGGATTGTGCTCTTGTGATGGCAGTATTGAGAAGTTTGTAGTTAGATAAAAAACCGTAATCTAAATCCTCGGTGGAGTCTTCCAAAAGTTGCTCTTTCTTTTTAATTGGTGTCTGCTTATGCTTGCAAGTGTGGCGTGTACGCACTGTGCTAAGAAACAGAACTCTGAATTGCTTTCCTACAAAAAAAAAATGGAAAAACGGCGAGATCATCACTCTGAATCACTGATAGAATAAATCTTACATCTGTAAAATCTTAATTGCTAGACCATGAATGCTGATAAAACAGGAGAAATCCCAGCCTTATGCACAGCTCTAAGAAGTGTGCAGCTGCCCTGGAATTCTGTGGCAGGTCCTCAAAAAGGAAACAGAGTGACCATCTGATTCAGCAACTCTACTTCAAAGAAAACCCACCACACCGAAAGCAAGGTCTCCATGAGGACTTTGCACCCATGCTCACTCAAGCCTTGCTCATGATGCCAAGGTGTGCCCCAGTGTCCACAGACACACCAGTGTAATTACACACAATGAGTTACTCAGTTGGTTTATACCACAGTATGAATGAACCTCAGAGGCACTGTATTAAGTGAATAAAACCTAGTCATAAAAGGACAGGTATATTTTGAAGGGGGAAAAAAAAACCCTAAATTGGAACACTGTAAGATCTGAAACATGTCAGACCCCCAGCACTTTGGGTAAGAGCAAATCAAGCTGTACTATCTGAATCTAATTAGAAGAGGCCCTAATGTAGTAAAATTCACACAGAGAAAGTAGAATAGAATGGTGTTCAGTAAGGGCTGGAGCAGAATGGGAGGTATTATTTAATGGTCCCAGAGTCTCAGTGTGGGAAGATGGACAGTTCTAGTGATGGATGGTGGTGTCGTGGCTATGGTGATGTACCACAGGAATGAATACACCACTTGCCACCCAACTACTCACATAGAAACGCTCAAAATGGTAAGTTTACTTATTATGGACTTTGTACTACAACAAAAAAAGTCATTATGACATTGTTTAGATTTTGAAAACCCTAAGTCTAACTATGTGGTCCAGACTGCCCTAGATTCCTGGTGATCCTCCTGCCTCAGCTTTTTTAGTGCTCAGATCACAGGTATGTATCATCATGCTTAGCTTAATTTTTTTTCATAATTGTTATTGCTAGAATAATCTTTGAGATTATCTAGCCCAACATCCACCCTACGCAAGAAACCTCTGCCTGGAAGCAGGGTAATTTAATCCTACCACACAGAGCAGACATGGCTGACTGTGCAAAGAAGCCTGATGGAGTCTGGTTTATAGCATTTGTTTCTTATAGTAATCTAACATTTCTCATTCTAAAACAAGGAAGGATCCAAACATTTGACAAGTGTTAATATTGGTCTTCAGTTTTCTCCTCTCTAACCCCACATCTTCATCTGCTCCTCGCCCATGTGGATACAGAATAGAGCATCAGCTGACCTACATTTACTATGTGAGTATTTGTATTCATTACCAAAATACCCAATTGAGTGTGACCTGAATGGGGGTAGGAGGAAGCCGCTGCTCCCATGATGCAGGCACTGGATTACTCTTCCTGTTGCATCACGTACCTAACACCCTGGCCTTTTCTAGTGTTCACATCATCACATTGCTTCATATATGTAAAGGCACAAAGTTTGTAACTCAATTCATGAACAATAAAAATAAATTTGCTGGTAACTAGTCGCTTAAAGAAGTCTACAAATAAAATATTTCAAAGTAATTCACAAATACAGTACAACAGCATGTATTATGTTGTATATTGTTTTATTTATTTATATATACATGTATACATACATACACACATACATACATATATCTATCCATGGCATTATATAACTGTGGTGATAGAAAAATTCAATTTGTTATTAATATCTTTATTTGGTATTGCAATTTTAATAAACATGTAAATTTAGTATTAAAGAGCTTAACAGGAATTATCATTGTGGACCCAAAAAAGTACGGAGGTTTCTTTTTTTCTTTTCTTTCTTTCTGTTAGATTTCTTAAAGGCCCACGCCTATTTAGGACAATTAGATATACAATCTACACATACTCTAAGACACTTGAATACTTCAGATAATTCATTCCAATCAGTCCTTACCTTGAACGTTTAGCACCCTTTCTACATTCACATCAGAGAGCCTCTTTTTCCGAAGTTCAGCGCGGATCCGAAACACCTGGTCAGCGTATGGAGTCACCACACCAATACTGCCGTCGTCTAACTTCCCCCATGCTACCGGCCACTTCCTTCTTAGCTCCTCCACGCGTTCCACCACTTCAAATACCTTTAACAAACACACTTGTTAAAATTACCACTGGTGTTTGGACAAAGAATATGGTAACCGAAGCCGACTGACACAGGGGTTGCATTTTAGCAAATGCCATTTGAAAATCAACCTACAAACGGGAGTAGTGTGTTCCTGACATGAACATAGTAAGGAAGGTAACATTGTATTAAAATTCCAAACAGTAAAACCCTATAATAATGTGACTGGTGGAAACATTGAAACCAAGACAATGTGCTGGGCAAGTGGCCACACCTTCCACATCCCCCATTCTTAAAGTAAAAAAGGACTGGAGTGTCGCAGAAAAACGGGGCGGGGTAGAATCATGAACAGAGGGAAAGCAGGGAAGCAAGTCCACAACTCCCTGGCGCTTCTCAGTCCACTCTCGAGCAAGCCAAGAAAGATCCAACTGATATAACCAAGCGGACCATCCAGCTGTTAGGTGACACAAACCTCAGCTGGAACTAGGACAAATAAACACTTTCAGAATCTGTTCCCTACTTGTAGTACAAGTTCAGCCCAGCCTAACCATTGCATGTACTTTTCTATAAATTTTACAAGCAAGTTGTTTAGACCCTACTTTCCGGGTTATACAGGGTTTTTAGTATAGTTTATCTACTTACTTTACCTCAATGAATTGATCAAAAAATTTCAATGTTTGGCATAGGTTAATAAAACATGCTCCTTAACTCCGAAGAGATTATTACTTCCAAAACAATCCTTTCTGTCTGTTTATCTACCGACACACCTATTTACTTACCTACTGTCTGTCTATCAATCATCTATCACGTCTTTCTATCATCCAGCTATCTATCAATCTATCTATCTATCATGTCTTGCTATCATATATATGTGATTGGCAAGGTCAATCCAGAATCAGAAAAGATTCCAGTGTCATATAGCTGAAGTGGACATTTTAAATTATATCTTTTAACTACAGTTTATTTACTAACAATTTCTATTTGAAATTACAATGCCTACTGCAATAAGGAATATGAAAAGTGTGTCTTTGCCTGTGCAGACAAATGTGGGACAAATGAAACACAAGAGACACTCTGCTGCAAAACCCCAACGGTTTCTACCGTGAACCTAACCACTGTCCTACCCTATCCTTCCATTCATTCTTACATTTTAAGTAGCATAAAATGGTATCAAAACAAATGGCCTCCCAACAGATCTGTAGACGAGTCAAACTCAGCAAAGACGCTGGAAATTGATCAAAGAGCATGCAAGCAAGAGAGAAGTGCTGTTTAGCGCAGCCTGCAGCCACTCCGTAAGAACAGTGAGGACTGCTTCCGAAGCCAGTTTCCATCTCCCTCAGATCTCTGTGTTGAAGACGCTATTGCAGGTGATTTTAGCAACCGGTAAACACTGGCACACTCAATTTCCCACAGGTTGCTACTGCAACAGGCCTGCATTGAGCAGCTGTCAGCATCTGTGTAGAGCTGAGGAAGCCCACAGGAGAAGAGTGCAGTCCTTCTCAGGGCAAGAATCCTCTCTTATGTACATTCAGCGGCCAGTAAGCATCAGTAGACTCTAACTTCCCTTGATCTACATGCAGAAGTTCCTTACGGTGGCTGGAGAGCTGGCTCAGCAGTTAATGGTACTTTCCGGTCTTCCAGAGGACCTGAGTTTGGTTTCAAGCACTCACACTGGGCAGCTGACCAACACTTGTATGTAACTGTAGCTACAGGGGATTGAAAATTCCTTCTGGTCTCAGCAGGCATTTGTAGTCACATATATGTACCCACTCCAACACACTGACAACTTGATTTTTAATAAATAAAATTTTTAAAAAGTCTCACAAACTCGCAACACTGCCAAGAAACCCAGCTTCAGCTGGATCCCAATTCATGCTCCAAACAACTTAAAGTAAGATAATTGTCATGAAAAGGATTCACCAGATCTGTGCTGACAGAAGGACTCAGCAAACAAAAAGTCAGAAGACAATCCAAAGTTAGGAAAATCAATGAAGAAAAATTACCAAAGGGACATCATTAAGCTCCAACATGTGTCTAATATTAGAGAAAAGTCAGATGGAAAGAAGAAAAAATTAAATATTAAACATATTCAAAGAAAACCAGGCTAGGTGTAGTGGTAGCACGTGCCTTTAATCCCAACACTCAGGAGGCAGATAATAAAAATGTTCAAGGCAATGATGGCTAAAGTATGTCCATACCTAATGAAAACACACATAAATACAACGAACTTCAAGTATGATAGATATACCCCGATGTACACCAAGATGTGCACCCAGACATATCACAGTCAAAATGCCCAAAATCAAAGACAAAAATGAAACAGGAACAGAAAACGAAAAGCAACCATATTTACAAAGGGACCCTAAAGATAAACAATCAGAAAGAGGAGGGGAATTCAATATGGTGGTGGTGGAGACTGACCAATAATCTTACATCCAGCAAAGCTTTCAAAACTGAGGAAAAATAAAGACATCTACAGATAAACAAACCTGAAAATTCTGACCAGAAATACTAAAGAACATTCTTCAGTCTAAAACCCAATGTCACCAACAGCAATGCAAAGTCACAGAGTACTGACATAACCCTGAACAAGGCAGAACACAGATGTTTATTTTCCTTCCTTGTCTCAACTGATTTAAAGAGCAATTGTATAAAATAATGTCAAGCTACAACATATAGAATACACTATGTGTATTATGTTGACAGTAAGCACACAACAGGCAGTGAAAATTTATGACAGGTGGTCATACAAACCATGCCTAGAGGTGAAAAGATCACCAACACTCAATGAACAGTAATACAGAGCTAGGCAGGAATGTAGCTCAGTGGTGGAACACATGCCTAGCATAGTCAATGCTGCGGCTCTTCCCACAAAAGGAGAATTAATCTCTGTCCCTTTTCTTCTCTTGGAATTACACACACACACACACACACACACACACACACACACACACACACACACACACACACACTCACACACACACTTTAACAAGGTATCTTTCACATTATTAGAAATTGGCACAGTACTATGAGAATGAATGATGAAAGGGGAGGTTGATGTAGAGTTATGTAAGAGTTTCTCCATATCCCCGAAATTTAGATAGATTTGAAATAGCTTCTGATTACATATATACTATTGGCCATAGACACATCATTAAACAACTAAATATACAATACATGTAAGTTTGCATATACATACTTATATAATTTAGATGAAATTTTCACATCTGGGCTGATAACGATCCCCACAAGAGTCATCATAGACTATGTAATAAAACACCAGCACTAGGTATGAGAAGCACCCTTTTGAGCTACTGTTCAAAGTTATCTAAGAGACTCCTAATACGATATACAGGCTACAGCTGTGACACCCTCCCCCCTCCACCAGAAGTGGAAGATAAATTCCTACTGATGAAAACACCATGCACTTTGTAAACAGGACCCAGAGGACAAAGCTGGATCAGACATGAAATCCTTCTCCCTGAGGACTAAGTTTCATGGCACAAGAAGGCACCATGGAGGCTTGCAAAGGAAGAAAACAACCAATGGTCCTATCCAGTTATGAACCATAACAAGGGGCTGGAGAGATGGCTCAGAGGTTAAGGGCACTGACTGCTCTTCCAGAGGTCCTGAGTTCAATTCCCAGCAACCACATAATGAGACCTGGTGCAATCTTCTGACATGCAGGCAGAACAGTGTATACGTAATAAATAAATCTTTAAAAAAAATGAACCATACCAACCAGCATGGCATGGTAACATTAAAGATACCTAAGTACTGGCACACATGCCTTGGCAATAACCAACAACTCTAGGATTGGAGTTAAGGCTGACTCAACAAGAGGGAAATCATTCCTGGTACTGAAAACCTAGCCTCCTACCCAGGGCTAGTAAAGCCATCGGTCTTGAAGGAGAACCTACAATCACCACTTTACCAATCCAGCATAATTCCTAGTTACATCTGAATATCTATCCTTATAGCTACAGGTTAAGTGTAATCCTCACCCCTAGATCAAGGAAATTTCTCACCATTACAGAAGACTACAGCTGATCAAAATGCAGAGTTGTGAAGCCCAGTTCCAACTGATACTTATATACAACATAACTCCTGGCCTGAGGCTCTGGAATTACTTCCAAAGAGGTGTGAAAGACTCTAAGAACCAAAGGCACAGGAAGCTTGCTTGTGATATTTTTGTTTCCTAGAAACATCAGAGAAGCTAACCCATAAAGTCTGACTAACATGATTGCCTAAACATGACTTGAGCAAGGAAAACACCAATAGACATTTAACATGAATGGGGAAGTTCATTAGGCCTTAATCCTAGACAAAGAACTACAGGCAACCAAAGAATGCTGAGAGCAAGAGAAATGGTTTTCCCCAGGGAAAAGCACATCAATGACTTACCCAGGTCCAAGTGGTCAGCCCTGAAAACATACATGCAACATTATACAGACTAAGCAGCTTGTATATGAATATTTAGGGAGAACTACGTGTGTGTGTGTGTGTGTGTGTGTGTGTGTGTGCGCGCGCGTGCACTACATAATGAGACCCTGTCTTGAGATAAATGAACTCTACCCTGTAATGCAGGGTTTGTGAATATGGTCAAAATATATTAATGTATTATTAATTAATCACCTAATTAATAAATGCTCTAATTTTTTCCCTTTGGACTCAGCTGCAGTAAACTAGAACCTGGTTTTCAGTCCATAGAAGAGACCCTGGGCAATGAACCTCAAAATTTTTGAAAGCAGTAACTAATGCAACTGAATAGCCATGCTCTAGGTAAGCTCAAAGTCACTTGAAATGTCTCTAATGTTACGTTTGATATTTAAAGGTAGCACAAATGTTGTCTTTACATTTTCATAATATATAAAGAATTTTTCCCAAAATACCTGGAGTAAAATTGACAGTCCAGTAAAGTTGTGCTACACACATCCTACAGCTTGGAGAGTACCTGAAAAACACACCATGAAGGAACAAGAGCCCAGTGCTTGGCTGTGATCCCTGATGCCACATATAAGGATCCCAGAACCTTCTGGAGTTTAGGACCTATTTGTTACTCTGTCAGTCACCCACCTTCTACCAAAATCAACTTCCAGGCCAATGAGTTTCAGCCTGACTGCAAAAAACAACAAAGGAGAGCTTTACAGCAACCTTCAGTCTTGCTATATTTAAAGAAAAGTTTACCTGTTCCTAAAATTAAATGGCACAGACTAATGAAAATGCCAGGTTTCTTGGGTTGGGGCTAGAGTCTGAGCAAGTGGCACTGGTGGTTTTCTTGCACTAAATTCTAACTATAAGCCTCTAATCAGTTTTTAAAAGGACATATGAGGTCCTATTATGTAATATAAACTGTTTCTTTGTAAATACAATGAGCAGAGACTAGAAATGACATACACTTCCTCCACCTTCCTGTGACAACAGGACCTTCACTACAGGCTTCCTAGTGAACTTGCCTACTGCCTGACCTGACCCTCAGGACACCCACATTCCCTCTGGGAAGCAGAAACTGAAAAAGGGAATTACAAAGCCACTGATGAAGCAGTGATGCCAATGTTGGAGACTGTGTGGTCTCTTGGAAGCACAGGATTCTGAAATTCAACTCTTCCTCATTCAAAATGATGTCTCCTTTGAGTATGAGCTAGAAATTCAATCACTCTGTCTTAGACATGAGCCAATAATGCTCTATGTCAGAATATGTTGCTTTTCCTCACAAGTTGTGTTTTCTGTTTTAACATTATTACAAAAAGAAAATCAAATTTTTCCGCCTGTAGAGTCATCTAATAAATAAACGTAAAGTTTGCTCAATTTTCTTGTAAAAGAAATCGACACATTATAAACTATCAACCCTGAATTCAAAATGAATGCTCTAGAATCAGACCAAGAAAATATTAAAATCAGTATGAAGAACTAAGATACCTCTGCATTGTTATAAAAGGCGGTGCTATTCTTTTCTTGTACGTCTTCCCCTCGTGCTGTAAAAAACGTGAGTGGGTAGAAGTCCTTGTGTGCTGGCTGCTTTCCACTGGCCATTAGTTTACCCTCGTAGAAAAGCTCAGAGGTATAGCTGCAGAGGAAGAATAGAACAAAGGAAGCTATCAGCCAACTTAATTCCACCTGCATAAAAAACCTGCTGAAGTCTAATACTAATTTATGGCCACAATTAATTTTTGTCCAAACATTGAATACTCATGATGCCAATAATTTCCCAGAAATAATGACAGTAGTTAACAGAGCAGGTCCCTATGACACCATTGTTAAATGCATTGATTTTTATAAGAAATGAAGGCAGAGCACAAAAGAAATGATGCACAGTCACTACAGCTGAGACCTCTGCTCTGGGAGAAAATTCCCTGAGCTGTGTTTTCTTAGCTAATACATTGTAATTCCATTCATGTGGATCACACACTGCCATGCCTTCGGTCAGCAATGGACCCATGGCCTACACTATAATTGAAAACCTCCTAGCACATCTACAACACAGCACCAAGAGGTGCCCGCCTCTGTGGTGGTGCTGGTGAAGACCCACAAAGGACATTGATACACAGTGTGTCCTATGCCAAATGACTACGCCAGTGCTTTATGTATTTACTGCAATTTGCTATTTCAGAGTGTATCATTCTACCTACAAAAATATGTCTGAGTGCTGGAAAGATGGCTCAGGGGTGAAGAGCATTGGCTGCTATTCTAGAGGTCCTGAGTTCAATTCCCAGCAACCATATGGTGGTTCACAATCATCTATAATAGAATCTGATGCCCTCTTCAGGCATGCAGGCAAACATACAGAACATTCATATATTTTTTAAAAAATTACATAAATAAATAAAAACCTGTCCATAAAGATGTCTGTCATGTCATACCAGCAGTCTCATACATCTCATGTTTACCAGGACACAGGAGACTGATTATACTGTTTAGGTCTGTGAAAAGTCTTCTATGATGTTCGCACAATGACAAAATTCTAACGACAGTTCTCAGACTGCATCCTATGATTGAGTAATGTGTGACTGTACATGCAAACACAGAAATACAGACTTGGATACAGTGTCCAACTGTAAAGTGAACACACTTTGGTGAAAAACTCATTGTTTAGTATGAAACTCAATGACTACAAATGAATGGTAACCATGACAAAAGGAATGACAGTGTGAGATGATGACAGGACATAATCTACACAAATGCTTCCAGAAAGACCTAAAAATGGTTTCTACAGGCATGGCATAACAGTCACCAGATGTCACATAAGAGAGAACTCTTTTAACCATGTATACAGTATTTAAAAGGAGTCTTTTTAAAACTCCATGTCAGGGTTTTTCTCCTTTCATTTCCTTTCTCTTAAAATAGATAATGTGGGCATTTTCATATAGATTATGTATTAATTTGCAGAAAAAGTTATCATGACCAGTAAAACCTGAAGTTTTAGTACTCAAACTGCATTATTTCTTGTGAAGAATCACAGCTCTGGATTTTGAGGTATTCGTTTAAAAACACAAATTTGGGCATAGTCTATAACACTCAGAGACCACAAATAATCCACCTAAAGTCACCTGTGCCTGGTCATGTACTGGCTGGTTTCCCTCCCACAGCCCACAGGAAGTGTGAGTCAGAGTGGACAGCTCACACCTACTTGATGATAGCTTCATGAGAGCGGTAGTTCTCACAGAGGAGGATCCTACATGGAAACTCGGCAGGGTAATGCTCGTAGAGTCGATCAAGTAATGAAACATGAAGGTTTCTCTCCCTGGCAAACTCGCTGTAAACAAAAGGACTGAGCTGTAACAGACAAACATACAAAGAAAATTTAACCAGATATATAATTAGTGTTTTTGAATCTGTGTATACAGTCTTCTATACTAAAACTTCTTAGGTATTTAAAATGATGAATGATGAACCAAACTCCCTACCCCTCCCCCCAAAAAAATCATTCATATTGTCTACAAACCATTTTACAAATAAAAGGGATAGACAGCCAGGCAGTGGTGGTACAGGCCTTTAATCCCAGCACTCAGGAAGCAGAGGTAGGCAGATCTCTGTAAATTCAAGGCCAGCCTGGTCTACAGAGCCCAGGACAGACAGGGCTACACAGAGAAACCCAGTCTCGGAAGAAAAACAAAACAAACAAACAAGCAGACAACAACAACAACAAAAAGGACTAGACAAATTCCTACTAAGTGTAGTGCAGCAACAGAGTCTGGAGTTACACACAGTTACACATAGCCCCTCCCATGCAATGTAATAATTTAAAGAATATAAATCAGTTACTTCACCAAAACGAATCAACTGCTTAAAATAATACACTTGGGGGCTAGAGAGACAGCTCAATGGGTAAAGGTGCTCGCATCCAAACTTGATGACGAGTTTGGTCCTGAGAACCCAGATGATGGAAGGAGAGAACGGACTGCTGCAAGTTGTCCTCTGACCTCCACATACTCAACACGTGTGTATGCGCACGCACACACACTAAACAATGTTTTTAAAGGATTTACCTTTAAAATAAAATAATAAATGCAGACTGGATATTGTAGCACACACCTGAATCACAGAACGTAAGAGGCTGAGGCCACGTGCTGTGTTTTGAGGATAGTCTGGGATACACAGTAAAGCTTTTTTCTCAATAACTAAGAGAATGAATGAATGAATGAAATTAACTCATAAGATATTTGACTATGATGAAAAAATATTAACATTAATAATTAACAAGTTTTTTTCCCATAATGAAATCTACTACTCTATATGCTAAACTTAAAAATTAACTTTAAAGGGGCTGGAGAGAGGCTCAGAGGCTAAGAGCATCACTGCCCTTGCAGAGTACCAGGTTCAGTTCCCACATCCTCTTCTGACCTCCCCTGGCACTGCAGCACATGGAGCATACAGACACACTCCAGTACACACATACATATAAAATAAATATTTTTAAATTAACTTTTACAAACTACAGAAAGGGCTATGTAACTAGCCTCAAGTCCATAAATAAATGGTAAAATATAGTAAGAAAATTTTCTTTTAATTAAAAAACATACAACCAGCCTCCTTGATCTCATTAAGTATAAAGAGCCACTCTAGGCTATACCTTTTACTGCTAAAAATCACACTAAAGATACTTCAGGCAAAGGAAGAGCACAAAATTCCTTCTGTACACTGGCTTCTTCCCTGGAAGACTCAAGCCTGTTCTGCAGACCCTCAACCCACTGAAGTAGCAGGACAAGCTCCGAACAGCATGACAGACAATACCACAGACAGAGGCTTTTCTCTTTATATGTAAGTATGCAAATGACATAAAATCTGACATATTCTTTGGAATTGTGACTATAATTTTAATTGTCTTATTTCACATGATATTAAAAATTTAACTCTTCACATATTAGAAGTAGGGAATTACAGAAGCATCCAGCAGACTCAGCTACCACACCCTTTGTGTTGACCTGTCATTTCCTCAGCTGTTGCCACCCTGGCCACCACACACTGTCTCCCCACTGCTGCCACAAGAAGGCTCCTTTCCTGCCCCATCACCGGTTTTACCCCCTGTTACCTTTAGAACAGAGGCCAAGTCTAGTTAGTTAGGAGCCCTAGAAAGGGACCCCTGCTGTGGTAACAACTGGTATTTTAGAAAACAGAATATTAAACATCAAAATATAACTTGCAAGACTGTGACTAAGATGACGCCTACCTGCATATGATCACCAGCCAAAACAATCCGTGTGTTTTTAGTTGCTAAGGCTAGAGGCATAATGGTCTCACACTCCATGGCCTGGGCAGCTTCATCTAACAGAATATGCGTAAAAAAACCTGGAAAACAGTGTAAACAGCATACATCATAGCAGCAGTACAGCAGGATGCTTCCTACCACTCTAAGGAAAGAGTTTTTCTTCCATTAATCCAAGAGTACTTTAAGGCAATCCTCCATCTAGACAATCTGCTTAAGACATGATTTTTTTAAAAGGTTAGAGGCTGGAGAGATGACTCAGCAGTTAAGCAAATGCACTGGTATTCTAGAGGACCTGAGTTTGGTTGCCAGCACCCATGTTGGATGGCTCACAACTACTTGTAATTCCAGGGATTTGATACCTTCTACACACAGACACACAAGGACGTACACACACTCTCTCTAATATACAGAGTACTGAAAATAAATGTAATATTTTTAAAAGATCAGAAAGAGTAGCTATTTTCTTTTGTTACCATTTTTTTTCAGGAGCTGCATAAATCCTGAAATTGTTGTTTACTACTTAACTTAGAAAAGGAAGACACAGGTAGATCTGAGCTTGAGGCCAACCTGATGTACAGAGTGAGTTTCAGGACAGCCAGGGCTATTCAGAGAAACCCTGTCTCAAAAGACAAAAAAAGGAAGGGCCAAGTGTGGTGATGGTGCACACCTTTAAAGCCAGCACTTGGGAGGCAGAGGCAGGTGGATCTTTGTGAGATTGAGGCCAGACTGGTCTACAGAAGGAGTTCCAGCACAGTCAGAGCTACACAAAGAAACCCTGTTTTGTTTAAAAAAGAAAAAGGGGGGGGGGAGGAAGAGGAGGAGGAGGAGGAAAAGAAAATGCAATTGGAATTAATTAAACTGAATCTTAGTTTGGTTAACTATAAGATAATGGTCTTATCATTGATATAAGAATGAGATGAAATAAAATATAACAGCACCCAGAACAAGAGACTTATTAGTAAACACAGCTCTATGCCTAGCCCTTCCCAGCTGCTCCCCCTCTGACCAAGCAATGCCACAGCATCTAACTTTACATCTGCAGGACCAACATACGAGGTCTCAGCATCAAGTGAGGACAAAGCTGGCTGAGTAAACATTCCCCAACTAATCTCTCAAAGAGCCTTATTCACAGTGATGCTGCCATTGTGCAGCATCTGAAACACACCCTGGGACTGCCCTAGCAGCCACTTAAGAGCTATAAGCATGGAGAGGAAGTCTCATCCCATGGGGGGACCTTCCCATGTTAGCCACTAATCCCAGGTTAGTCACCTCCCTTAACAATTCTGAATTCCTTCCAAAATTAGAACTAGACTCAATAAGGAAAAGAAAAATGCTGGCTTCCAGTCCTTCATTTAAGATAAACAGAGCTTTTAATTTTTAAAATGTTAAACTCGAGGGCCTCCAAGTGTCTATACCCTGGGTCAGGTAGCAGGAATACAGATGAAGTGAACAGCCTCTGTTGCCCAGGGACTCAGATGTTCAACAGAATTTGTCATGGCTTTAAAGACAACTCCAATAGGAGACAGGAACATAATGGGAAATGTCAAAAATTATAGCAGAGCAAATGAGAACCTTGCTAAATTATCTACTAAAGTAATATGATGACCTCATGGTCAAGTTCTACCATATTCACCATAACTTGCCATCTTAGATTTCTGTGCTCACATAAAATTAGATTGAGCCAGAAGCCAAGTACTTGGAAGGCTGAGGCCAAAGAATGTGAGTTTAAGGCTAGCCTCGGCTACATATCGAATTCAATACAAACACAAATAAAAGCAAGACCCTGTCTCAAAAACACAAAAATAAAAAGTAAATACAATTGATTTTTACATTGTCCCAGCATGTAAATGCAAAGACCTCAGACCTATAGAGACCAGCTGTGAAGAGGGCTTACTGCACAATGATGAAGCCTGGAGCTCGGCTGCAGCACCCACACAACAAGTGGGGCTTCTCACCGGTGCCTGTAACCCCAGCTTCAAAGAGGACACAGGAGGAGCACTTGGGCTTGCTGGCTTTTGGCCTAGCCAAGACAGCATGAGCCTCAGACACAGGGAAAGATTCTGCCTCCAAGGAATAACAGAGAGTGATGGAAGAGGTCATCTAAAGCCCTTTTCTGGCTTCCACATCCTCTCAAAGGTGTGTGTGTGCGCGCGCGCACACACACACACACACACACATTCACATTCACATTCACCTGTGCAGACACACAGACACACATAAATCTTTTAAAAAGAAGAAACCTTCATTGTGTGCCATGATTGTTATTCTACATGACAAGATACAAAAGCAACTTAGCAAAAACCTCAACAAATATCTCTCTCTCTCTCTCTCTCTCTCTTGTGCACACACACACACACACACACACACACACACACACAAACCCACTGTCCAAATTCACATGATCATTAGCTAACAAAAACCACCTGGCCAACTGGAGCACAAACGGAATGGCAGTCATGAAGCTGACTACACTGAGGGTTGGCAAATGTTTTTCAGTCAAGGACCAAAGAGCTCTCCTGTCCCTGTTGAAGAGCCTGCCTGAGCTTTACACCACAAAAGTAGCCGCGGACAAGAAACAAGGTAATCAATAGGTACTGGCAGCTGTACTCTGTGCAGTAGAAGAGACACTTGACCAGATGTGGCCCACAGGACAGCACTTGCCAAAGGAGCGCATACACGAAGCCTGGGAGACAGCCACCTGTGGTGAGTGGGCATACCGGGGTCAAGGTCCAGCTGGCAGAGGTACTGGGAAGTATTCAATGTGACCACCACCACTCGATGTTTCAGAATGTCTTCCTTCTGGGGCATCTGAAAAGTGGAGTGTGCGCCTGAGATCAAGCAGTACTGATGCACGACTGGGTGGACAGTCTTCACCCAGCGGTTTCGGAAATACACCCTACAAGAGAGGACCACACGCCGATTATTAAACACTGTACTGGTAGTTAAGACCACAGTGCCAAAACTTATCAAAAAATTCTCGTAGTCACACACCATGTAAGTTTAGAATTTTAGTATAAAACTGCCACTGCACCCACGATGACCTTTCTAGCAAATATTTTAGAAGATATAAATATAAGTGAAGGAGCCACCACAAAAGAAATACCTAATTTTTTATGTATTCAGATTAATCTTGCAACAGAATTAACAAACAAATGTTTTATAAGCAATAGTTTTAAAAATTAAGTTTGAAACCTTTACTCTCAAATTACCTTTTTTCAAGTATAGTCTAACAAAAATGTACTTAACTCATATTTCAATTGTATATGCTAATACAAACCATGAAATTAGGCTTATAACACTTTTAGTTTAGAACAATTTGCAATAATTCTACTTTAGAAAAGTTCTTAAAAGTATTTTTTAAAAGACTTCTGCCTGGGCTTCTGGAATCTGAAGGTAAACTAAATTTTTGAATAATCACAAACTTGTCAGTGAAAATCTTAAGAAATTTCATCTTTCAGATAACTGCAGTAGAAAATATGAACAGGCTTCAGCTACAGATTACTCTGATCTGATGTACAGACACAACCTAAACTTCCAGCCTCCACCATCCCACATGGCAATGATCTACCAGCTGAGCAGGGCTTTAGGGCAACCACAAAGGCTTTGGCTTTACTCTGAGTTTAATGAAAAGCCATGAGACTGGACAGGGCAATCATGATGACTCATGCCGAAGACGACTCTGAACTCTGGGCAGAATCCACTCAGGGAAAGAGTTAAAGGGTGGCATAGTGCTCAATGTTTAGTAGGCAAATGGGGGTAGGGTCTCCAGCATTAGCTGGCTCTGTGATGTAAAAAGCTACCACCAGGGAAAGATGTGCCCATGGCGGCCCTCATAAGTTCATAGGAGCGGATTCTAACCCAGCCCCAGTGAAGAGGAGGTGAAAGCAGGCTACAGAAGCAGCAGGGAGGCAGTTAGGAGGCCAATGCCAGCGTCTGGACGCGAGATGACGGTGGCTTGGATAACAGTAGAGACACACAAATTGGACTCACTAGACACTGTAATGTAATGCCAAGGGAATTCATTAATAAACTAGTGATAAAATTTAAGGCAACGGACGACTCTATGTCTCATTTTTGTTTTTTGAAACAGAGTCTGAGATCATCCAGGCTGGCCTTAACCTCACTACACAGTGGACGGAGTATGATCTGCCAAGTGCTGGACCACAGCTACCTGCCTCTAGCACTTGAAACTAGATGAGTAGGGGTAGTGTTTACAAAGGTGGAAAAAGAAAATAAGTAACACTTCAAATCAAAGTACTAACATTGGCAAACATTTGGTCATAAGCCAAAACATATCACAGAGAATATAAATGTAAATCGGGGATAATACATCAAAGCCCTGGGTTCCTAGCACCACAGGGGAAAAAATAACATACTTAAATATATATGAGACAGCAATTAAATATTTCATGTATTCCTAGAAACAAACCAATTCATATATTACATAGAATTCAGATTAATCCTTAAAACAGAAGATAGTATTGTACATATAATTTTAATTCACTGAAATCTTGTAGATATAATAAATTCATATTCAATAAGCAACTAAAACTGTCTCTAGTCAGCACTCAAAAGACAGAGGAAGGAGAATCTCTAGGTTCCAGGCCAGCCTAGTCTACTGAGCGAGTTCCAGGACAGCCAGAGCTGTGCAGTGAAATCCTGTCTCAGAAAAACAAACAAAATGAAAAACATTACTACTTAGAATAGGAATTCTCAAAAACTGATGGTCCCTCCTAAAAAACAAACAAACAAACAAACAACAACAACAAAAAAGTTTCTTAAAAGACTACTCAAAATGGTAGCTGCCTTCAACTTGCCGGACAGCAGCAAGCACACTTCCTCCAGATGCCAGTCCTCACTGTACTATGACCTTGCCAGGGTCAGAAACTTATCCTCAGATCCACATGCAAAAAGAAACTGCTTTCTATGTACTTCTTTTCCTTGCTTCTGTTTTTATTTGTTTGTTTTGTAACTTTGCATAGCTCTCCAGGACTCCTGATATAAACGAGGCTGACCTCCAATTTGCAATAATCCACAAGCTTCCACTTCACAAACACCAGGACTCTAGCCATGTGCCACTCCCCATCCAGCTTTCTATATTCCTTTTTCTTTCATCCCTAAATTCTAGTCATTTGTTTGTTTATTATCTATCTATGGGGTAAACACATATACATATGTGATATATGCAAGTATATAAATCTCCCAGTTCTAAATAAAGTAAAAATCGAAATTCAACGTAATCTAAAAAGTTGTCTAAGAACTCCACATACTTTAGGCTCAGTTGGCAACTAAAAGAAATTTCATGGAGTCTAATCCTAATTATGTGTGTTTACCCATATTTATGACTATATTTACTCACTAACTATTGTAACTATTTCCCAGCGCCAACGTCCACACTACAGGCTTGAGAAGCAGCCAATTTACACAGCCTGCCTTCCTAGCAACAGCTTTCTTCTCGGTAATCTGTGGACATTTGGTGCCCTCTTGTGTTCCATCTCCTCGAAGTCCAGAACAACTCCAGTAATGTTATTTCCTCTGGCTAGGGGTGTGGCAAATGGATAGCTACTTGCTTAGCCTGGGAGGTTCCATCCCAGCACCACCCAAATAAGAAGCAAAACCCTCAGAGAAACTCAGCTTCCCAGAGCAGTTAGTCATTCTAACCCTATCTCCCAAATCTAACATGGTTATTATTCAGTAGGAAAAGTGTCAACTAATCTGAGCTTGTAACACAGCCTAAGAATTCAAGACAAATCCTCCTAGGCTACAGTGGCAAGATAGTACCTTTCCTAGAGAGAAAAGCTACAGTGAGTATGTAGGGTATTGTATAAAGCAAGCATTCGAGGAAACTAGGTGATTTTCCATTGAATCCTGTTTCCTAAATGAAATAACCTGAACCTTGCATTTGAAAATAATATTTTTCCATCTTGGACTCAACAACTCTGAGAGCTAAGAAAAAGTGAAATCTCTATTAGACAATTGTCTACATTTGGACAACTCTGACTAAACTCTACTGAAAAATTACTTTTTATTTCACATACAGACACATGTGTCTTGGTGGATCCTTACAGCCCAAAATAATTGCACATGGAAAGGCTATATAACCTAGAAAAATGATGGAGCCTATTATCTCAGACAGAAAATACCTATGCTAAATCCACCAAGTCTGGAGTGGGCCTTCACTCAACTGTTTTGGTTTGGTTTGGTTTGGTTTTTTGGAGACAGGGTTTCTCTGTGTAGCTTTGGCTGTTCTGGACCTTGCTCTGTAGACCAGGCTGGCTTCAAACTCAATAGATCCACCTGCCTCTGCCTCCTGAGTGCTGGGATTAAAGGTGAGTGCTGCCACCACCAGCTTCACTCGACTATTTCTAAGCCACATTTTCTATGCAACACACACACACACACTACCACCACTACAAGTAAATAAAACAATCAACTCTTCTCAATTAGAGTGAGAACACTCAAGGTAAAATGCTAGCTTCTCCACTTCCACCAGGAGGGCACAGGTTAAAATCTGCCACCTAGCTATGAAAGCATCCTTCAGTAAACACCTCATCTTCGATTAGGGAATGAGCAGTCAGTAATTCATTATTACACATAACTGAATTGCACTGCACTGATGATTTCTGCTGTCTTTTAGAGCAAGAGTACAACAAAGCACGGGCCACAACACTGTTCTTTCAAAGGGTTTTGGTGATGGGAATTAAAGAATTAAATAGCATAACTTCATGTTTCCATGCCTGGATTCAACTAGAAATAAGAGGTTAATATATTATGGATGAAAGTGTGGTGAGAAATTAATTTTAAGCAATAATTAATAATCAGCTGAACAACCTAGGCCATGATATATTAGTTTGCAAAATGGCAAAACTAAGTATTAAATCATATAACAACAAAAGCAAATGGTATAATAAACAACTATTTATGATTCTTTATTGTTTTCTGAAGAAAAGGATTTCTATTCTCCCACAGTCTATATTTAAGTATATTTTATGTCCACATGACAGCTAGAAGTCCTGAACAAATCAGTGCTGCAAAAGTGTGATGTACACATCATTTCAGTGCCTTGTGCTTCTCTAACATGTAGTAAATGACCACAGTTAAAACAATTTTACTTCCATCACGAACTGTCATTACATGACTACTCTGCTGTGCAAAACATGCTAAGAATTTTGATCAAACTCAATTTGATTGAAGTTAATCACTTATCTTACACTATTTTTTAGATGTACATACCAAAATCTACTCTGACCGTAACAACAGTTTTACATGATAAACTTAAAAAAGGATGTCTTTCTTTATACATAATGTTTCAGAAATAGTCAACAATTTTTACATTTTGCCTTAATTTAAGGCTTTCTTCCAATGACATCACCTCCAAATGCCAATACATAGTTAATGCTTTAGGTATTTCCAAAGCCTCTAAAATCTTTACAGACACCTTTTCTTAAGAATAACAAAGAACGATACAGATACATAATAAGCCTTAAAAATACCTGAGAGGTCTTGCCTGGGGATTGCCTGCTTCTACATATGGATGTAAATAATCCTTTATGTAGAGGTCAGCAGCACTATTAGAATGGGTGCAAATGAGAATCCTGCTGAAAAAATGGTGCAAATAAAAAGAATGACACAACACAAAGCTAGTCAAGCAGTATATAATACCAAGAGAGCAGTGGCCGTCTTCTAGTCCATTCCCCTCACCCTGCTGAAGCTCTTCACCGGGGATCCCAATCAATGCCTTTAGGAGAGTATACTACTCTAAGCTACAGAGGAGTTCCCCAAAGTAATTTTTAATCTGTCCACAATAAACACTTTAAACCCAGCTCTTTGAGTTCTAACATATCCCATCCCTCAGCAGATGGCTATGTTACAAACTATCATTTTCTACACTGCCAGCTTCTAAAACAACATAGTCTAAGAGAATACAAACTTCATTGCTTTGAGGTCTTACTGTCCTTTAAGGATTAAGACCTGGATAAACTGTCTCGTTGGCCCTCATCCTATCTCTAAAACAAGAAGAGAGGCTGTGCCTGGCTAAGGAGATGGGCACGCCTCCACCAGCTCACCTAGTCTCCTGCTGCTGTAGGATGTGCTTGACGGCCTGAGCCAGAGTGAAGGTTTTGCCTGTCCCGTAGGGTCCGATGATGAGAACAGGCGGCAGCTGGATGGAGAGTGGAGTGGTGATGGCCAGAACAGCTTCTTTCTGTTTTGCATTTAGTCGAGGATCCAACTGCTCATCCCATTGTCTGTAGAAAATACAAGCGTGCTATTTAACATGCACATGAGTGTTGTCAGTTTTTGCTGATACTACATCTACCCAAGCAGCACAGCATCTACAATAACCAACACATACTCTAAAATCTCTTCAGATTACTCAAGAAAGGCAACGTAAGGTGTTCTGCCATGAATCAAAACTAACCTGAGTTAGATACTAATCTAAAGAGATCAAACACTTGGAGTCTATCTGCTGGCAATATTTCAAAATGCAGAAAACTGTTTCCTATGTGTAATGAGGAAGCTGCCATTTCCTTCACAGCAAGTGGAGTGCAAAAAAACAACTATCTAAATTTCTACTACTGACCTATTGAAAGGTCTCCAGACAGATTTAGAACACAAAGAAAAGGGAAGAAAAAAAAAACCTTCATTTCTCTGGTTGAGAGATATCAAAGCTGATTAAATAGCAGATTGATAAAAATCTTGATTGAGTAGCAGGTTTTTTTTAAGGGTTTTATTTTCCAGTATTTTTGCACACAAACCATTCACATAGCTCCTATCATCCAAGTGTAATGCAATAGCTCCACAAGTGCCCCTTCTATGACATGCTTATGATTTGAAGATTACACTGGACACCAGATGTTGAGGCAGACTAAACTAAAGAATCAGCAGTATTCTTCCTCACAACTCCAACCAAAATAACAAAGACTGCACCAACTAAGGTAAAAGTGTGTGAAGATAGTCCTGCAGACTGGCCAAGTATCTTCAGAATGACCCAGCCAGGAGGACAGATTTGAGAGCAAAAGTCCCTCTCAGTAAGGAAGGCGGAACTGCACTTAGACCAGAAACAACTACTCACACATGCAAACTGTCCTAACACTCTGAGATGCTTAAGAATTGCAACTGGTCCACTGTACTAAATTCAAACCAAGGAGATTCTTTAAATCTACAAAGTCTTAGAAAATCAACTTGGAAGATAAAACCATGCCACTACTTATTCTTCTGAATTTGACTTTTTTTCTAACAGTAGAGGGAAAGAGGCCTCTGGGGCATACACTACACAGGGCATCTTACTTCAGAGCCCCTCTTCAATAGCCAGCTTCTGCACTCAGAGCTCTTCCAGAACCTGGCAATGCTCCATCTTCTAATGCAAAAAACAAAACGAACTCTAGGTAACCACCATGCCCAGACCCAATTGAGGCAGACACCAGTGTGGTAACCCCCCAAATCATCCCAGCACCCCTTTCCTCTGCCTTCCTACTCTCCAGATCCTAGCTTGCTGGAGACCCAACTCTGGCCAAACTGAAGTGGGAAGAAGTCTCTCAAACCAGCCTCTACATATATTAAAACAACAACAACAAAAGCAATGCTTACTAGTTTGAGTTTTTTGGTTTTTTGTTTTGTTTTGTTTTTTTAAGTGAAGAAAGTGCTTCTCATGTTGGTGCTCCTCTGGCTACAAAGAGCATGTGGTAATAAATCCCAAGTGGCCATCACATAACCAATGAACAACAAGCATCAGAAAACAACAGCAAACAAACAAAAATCCCAACATGTTGTTCTAGGCCAGGCAATATATGGTCTGTGACAGCATGACTGGTCTTTTGCCCCCGTCCTGGTTACCTACCTCTGGGATTCTATAACTCAACTTATGACAGCAGGTTTGCTCAGAAAACTGTTTCATACACCCACATCTGACACTGTAGTTGCAAGATCCCCTGACTCTCATACTCCTTCCTCTGTCTTCAGACGTAGACTTGGCATTAGATGGCTGTCTTAAAGCCAATGAGACCACACATATGTTTACATGAACTAAAACACTCACCTAAAGCTGTGTGGAAAAATAATTAAGCAACAAAAGTTCAATCCACCTTAGTTTCTAGTTCTCTATTTTTTGATGATTTTAGGAAAAGACATTACTTGAATAATACACATCAAAAAACAAAACAACACATACTAATCATTCCCATCAGCGTTAGTTACAGAATGCTTGTAGATATAGGCTCAATACATTAACTCCAAAGCTAAGGAACAATTCTGTAAATCTGTCTATATCTTTCCTTCATTATGGAATCCATTCTGCTTATCAACTGTTTCAGGGCAGATGTGAGAGTTTATCGAGGTCAGTCATGTCTGTAATTTCTGGTAATGAGTAATGAACACATAAAGAAAGCCAAAACCTGAAATCAACTACTGTTATTGTACCATCACTTAGTAAGAGAGAGACCTAAACACGTATGCTGCAAAGCACTGTATCCACAGTTGAGAACAGCATCTCTCCAAGTTTAGGCTCAGTAAAAAAAATTTTTTTAATGGAATAAAAATCCTTTTATTCCCAGCACTAAGTTAATCCAAAGCCATTTCTTCTCTGGCCCAATGCATCCCTGCAGTTAGTTTAGAAACTACATGCTCAAAAACAACTTCTCAGCTTCATTGTCTATCTACGCTCCTGGGATTCCAGAAAAGTTTGAAATGGCTACTGGCTTCTCAGGTCCTAGTCACAGGGCCTTCCACTGCTGTTCCTATGACAGTGGCGAGCCTGGCCTGCTTGGAAGCATGCTGCACAATGACTTCTTGGCATTTGCACAGTTCACAGTCAGTACTGTTGGACACAGCGAGCAAATCAAGTCAGAATGCCAAACGCTTCACTGGGGTCCCTCACACCCCAGCCTAAACTTCCTCTTTAAACTGGAAATTAACATTAACGTCAATGTACAGACTCTCTTGATTGAAAACACATAAGACATGGTCTCATACTTTACAAAGCTCAGAGTTCAGGAAAAAAGTTGAATTGTACACAGCTGACAAAAATGAATTTAGAGAGAAACCATGCTGAAAGCACAGAAGATCCACAGAAGAACTCGGGAACTATGTGCCGAGATAAGGTAACAGAAGCAACCTGCTCATCTGCTTGAAGAGTGAGCGCCCGAGCTGCATGCAACTCTAAAGGACCAAATGGGGGGAGGGTCTTCAGAAGGCTGACCCTGGGCAAAGAAACCATGCAAAGGTGAGGAGAGACAAGGAGGGAGACACACAATGACAGTGTCAGGGTCACACATGAACGTTTTTAAAGCTAACAGGCTAGACTTTTTTTTTCAGACTAGACTCTAAAGTGGTTAATAATGGTGGTTCTTTGTTGCATGGATTTTACCATAGTGTTTATAACATTTTTATAGGAATAACAAAAAACATAAGGAGGGAAATAAGTACAGGAAGGCACAAATAAATGTCAAGGCAACTGAATGCAGCCAAAGCACGGGGACTGAGACAACATGAAGACAGCACTGGGAGGCATCAGTGAGAACCTAGGACACAGCAGACCTGGAGATCTGCACATGATGAAATGTCATGATTAGTTTTAAAAACTTTGGATTGAACCAGACATCAGAGATACAGACAGCAGGATGGAAGATCAACAGAATGCCACAGAAATAGTTCAGTCCTAACTTGAGCACCAGATGTAAGAATGCAAAGAAAGAGATACATGCAAATAAGTCAACCAAATGAGAACTGGGATGTCCCTGGGTTCCTACAAGCAGACCACAATTACTTTCAGGACAGTGAGCTGCAAAGAATGCTGGAGACATGTAGACTAGTGCCTGTTGATAAACTTGGCAATAAAAACAAGTGGGGTGAGGCAAGCTTGTACTAAAAGGCGTATTGTGTTTTATTCTGTTTTTAGGAGCAGAAGCAATGGAATGTTGAGTGGACTTGTATGTGCAACTTCTAGGCCTGATCTGTAAAGATGTACCACCTGGTCCTCTGTGTTCATTCTGTACTTGTCAACATGTAGGTGCCCTTGGAAACCAATCACTAAAGATGCCAGAACATCCATCAGTAGGAAACAGGGCCACCAGTGCCAGGTGGCCACCCAACCATGTCTTTATTGTGTAAAGCCACTTCAATACTTTTTTAAGGTCAAGTGAGCTAGGAAGGCAGGAGTTAATAGGACAATAACCATACTCTTGGGACAAACCAGCAGTACTTTATTTAACTGCAGGTGGGGTGACAGTTAGGTAGATCACTATTTGTACAACCCCCTAACTTGACAGCAGTTTCTGAAGAAATATCCTCTAACCATTCCCTCCACTTTACTAAAATCACAAAATCATCTACATCCCAAAGTTGTTTTATAGATTTGAACCACTGCGGAAAGGTCATGGTTATCATGTTAGAATTCCTTTTGGAAAAATCCCTAAGCTGCTCAATGTCCTATCAAACTGAGACCACTGAGAGAAGCCACAGGACTGAGAGAAGCCAGAGAACTAATTTACAGTCTGAATCATCTCCTGAAGACCACAGGTAAACTTTCTAACAAAAGTAGGCTTGAGCTCAGGGTATTGGCTTACACCTGCAACCCCAGCTCTGGAGAGGCTGAGGCAGGAGGACTGCCACAAGTTCAGGATCAGTTTGAGCTACATAATAAGATCCAGCCTGGCTACAGCGTGAGATACTGTCTTTTAAAAAGGGGGAGGGGGAGCAAAGAAGTATGCTTGAGCTAATACAGACATTCAATTTAACATTAACAACCTTCTTTTTCGGCCGGGTGGTGGTGGCACACGCCTCCAGCACTCCAGAGGCAGAGGCAGGCGGATCTCTGTGAGTTAGAGACCAGCCTGGTTTACAAGAACTAGTTCCAGGATAGTCTCCAAAGCCACAGAGAAACCCTGTCTCAAAACCACCCCCACCCCCCCCACCCCCACAAAAAAGCAACCTTCTTTTTCTAAGAAATCTCTTTTCATACCTGTTGGGACTCCAAGGTATGGTAGGAGTCATACTGGTGTCTGGAAACAAAACACCATTGTCCTTTATCCTGTCTAGTGCATAATGCATTTCACAGAGGGGCGATCGATTCAATTGAAACTGAAGCTCAGCCTGAAACACAAAATGAGCATCTGTAAAACAGGTTTACAGCAACATGATATCGGCAGTGCACAGGAATACTTCATGGAGACAGCAGCTCTCAGAACGATCATACCCTAACAGTTAAATCGGCAGAGAAAACACTGGCTGCATGTTAGGTACTGTAACAAGCAGCTGTCATAGATGGCCTCGTGTGATTATACTAACAGTATACAGGCTATTACTGATCTCATTTTACATAGTAAGAACTGAAATCTTATAAATGCTAGATAAAGGGTATCTGAGTCCACCATACCCATGAAGAACACATTTGATAACAACAAGTGTGTAGCATCACATGTTCATTCAGTGATAATCAGTCTTACAACCCTGTACAGACTGACTAGGAATCATGGTCCACTAAGTTTAATATTTTAAGAAGACAGGCTAGCTTTCCAGTTAAATATGGCAAACTGAGTGCAGGCTTCACTTAAACAACATTAATACAAACAGAAGGGAAGCAGACACAGAGCTTATTCCATGGCTCTGGATACAGCAGCTCCTGAAACAAAACCGCTCTTCGGTTGCTGATGCCAATGTCTAATCAAGAAGCTCGAGCTTCGTACGACTGGAACATATGACATGCTCCTTACATTCAAAAGGTAGCCAACCCGCCCAGGATGAGACTTCCAAGTCAAGTGTGTTTCTGGTCGGGTGGAGGGAGAACAAGCAGCAGGCAGCAGCTGACACTGGGTGAAGACCCCCTGGGGAAGGCACTGCCTGCAAACATACCTGCGTGTCACAGTCAGGCCGAAGATTAAGCTCTTCACAGCATTCCCTGGATATCCTTAAAAATATATAATCTTTTGTTTTTTCTTCAATAGTAGCTTCATAAACCTTCTCTTTGGTTCCCTGGGTCTGTACTAGCTTCTCTTTAGGGACTGGCAATAAATAAACTGCATTGACTTTGGTCATCACCAGTCGTCCAGCCAAAGTATCTTCAGAAAGGGTTTCAGTAAGCTTAAAACGACCAAAAAGTTGTCCATTCTGAGCATACTTTGCACCCCCAGAAACTCCAGTGAGCATGAAGCTTGCTAAAATCTGCAATTGCACTTTAAGGTTGAACCTAAATAGAAAGCAGAAAACTAGTTTGAGTATTTCTTATCAAAAACACAAGAACTAGAAAAATACAACATATGTTTGAATTTCTAATTCAAATGTAAATATAAATATATGGAAATGTAAAACTTATTATCGCCGGGCGGTGGTGGCGCACACCTTTAATCCCAGCACTCGGGAGGCAGAGGCAGGCAGATTTCTGTGAGTTCGAGGCCAGGTTGGACCGACAGCCTCGAAAACAATACAGAGAAACCCTGTCCCAAAAAAAAAAAAACTTATTATCAATTCTATTGTATTGAATTACCAACTCTATATACCATAATCTTTCTCCCCTAAATCCAAGCTGAATTCAGTTGCATAAGCATACTTAATTGTGTTAAAGAATATGGATTTTTAAATGACTAAGTGTGGCCCCTGAGTGGGCACGGTGGGTAAAGGCATCTGTTGTCAACTATGGTAACTTGAGTTCGATTCCAGAACCCATAGAAGTATAAACTGACTCCTGAAAGTTGTTCTCTGACCTCAAAATGTGAGCCCTATCTCTCAGACGCACACGCACAAATAAATAATTCTTGTAAATCTAAGTATATGACAGGTGATCATTAATAAAGTGAAATACATTGACTAATAGGAAATGGTTGAGATTAAGACTTTCAAACCATCTAAGCCAGGAGGAAAGGCACTGTATTACAACTACAGTGTACTTTTAGCTGAGGGTTTACCAGGTAAATCTTACCAAAAGAATCTAATCACTAGCATTTTTCTCAGTAACAAATAACAACTAAATAAAAGTTTATCATTATTACAAGGAAGTGAGTCTCATGCAAGAGATGAAAAAAGGAGGTCGACGACCTATCTTAGCAGAAAACAATCCAGACACATGTGAATATAATGTGTGCTTGAAGGTGTACAGAGAATCAAGATTAATTTACAAAGTTGAAGAAACAGCAGGGCATGGGGGTGCACACCTTTACTTCCAGCACTTGGGAGGCAGAGGCAGGCAGATCTCTGAGTTCAAGGTTAACCTGGTCTACAGAGCTAATCCAGGGCAGCCAGGGCTACACAGAGAAAGCCTGTCATGAAAAACCAAAATAACCTCAAGACACCTGACCCCCAGCCCACCCTCAGACAGCATTGGAGTAATCACACACACAAAAAAAGGAACGAATGAACAAAGGAAGAAAGAGAGAGCGAAAGAGAGACCAAAAAAAGAAAAAGGAAAGAAACTTCCAAATAGAATACATAAGAGGTATAAAACCAAAAGGTCTACAATTACTAAAATTAATATTTAATAGCACACCTCTAATGAGGATCAAATAAAATCCAGCAGGATCTGCCTTGTATGAGACTTTCTAAAAATACTCTTAACATTTCTCTGATTCTGTATGTAATTTTACTGTATAATTTTAAAGAAATGCAGATTTCATCTTATCCAAGTATATCTTACTCTTCAAAGACCAGATTTATACTAAGAACTCAAAGTAAAAAGCCTAAACACGAAAGTGAAGTGAAACTGCCCAGTTGATAGCCTCTGTCCACATCACCATTTGAAAAGAAGCTGTCCTTGTGTCTCTAGAGGGAGCTTCTCAAGCTGCCTTCCACACCATGGGAAGGACTGGGTTGGAAGAGACTGCCTCTAATACACGACTGCCTGACAAGACCTCTCTGTTGCTAAAGGTCCTGTTCAGGCTTCAAATTGTGTCCCTTCTACTTTGCAGTCACTCTCCTCTTTAAACTCCATCTTCCACTAGGCTTCTGTAGAGCCACACCTTCCAGGGACTCTCTGCTACCTGTCTAACTACCTCAGCCTCCATCTGAAATCAGCCACCTTCTCAAAGCCCCAGTGTGCCCTCACCTTACTCTCTAATGATACCATTGTTCCTGCATTCTCCATGCCCAGACATTACCACCCATTAACCTCTAACCTCTCCACCATGACTCCAAATCAGTGCTTCCAGGCATTATGGAAAAAGGTTTCCAAGCCAGAAGCTGAGTTACAGTTGACTGTCTGTCTCACCAGCTGCCATTCCCCTCACCCTGGTTCCTACTACTGGTGAAGTCATTTGCAACTCAACATTTTCAACCTGGATTACTATAATAAAGTGAACATGGCTTTCTGTCTGTGCAGCAAAACAAGAGAAACTTTGTCTCATAAACAGGGTGGAAAGAGAGATCCAAATCCTGAATGGCCCAGCACATATCTGAAATATGAGCACTCAAGAGGAAAAGGGGAAGAAGGGTGACAAGTTCAAGGCCAGCCTATGCTACACAGCAAAACTCTGCTCCCACAAAGAGAGAAAAGAATACAACCAAAAAGGACCATGACATAGCCCCAGAATAATGAAAACAAAGTATACTGCCCTGACACATTTGAGACTTTGAAAGGTTCTATCACATTTAACCAACAAATAGAGTGGCACAATGTACTTTTACATTTTCATTTGCTCTTTGTTTTTTGGATATGCCCCTAATAAGTATTCTGCATCTATTACTAATGATAAGACATCTTGCAGGAAAAAAAAATACTGGTTAGACTATATTTAAAAGGAGAAACAGGGGCTGGGCATTTAATCCCAGCACTCAGGAGGCAGAGGCAGGTAGATCTCTGTGAGTCCAAGACCAGCCTGGTCTACAAGAGCTAGTTCCAGGACAGCCTCCAAAGCCACAGAGAAACCCTGTCTTGAAACCCCCCCCCCAAAAAAGGAGAAACTGTTATAAAAATATAACCATGTCTCACTGAGGTTTAATTTTGAAGATTCATCTTATTTTACCTAAACAGTAAAAAAAAAAAAAACAACTACTTTCACAACCTTTTTAATAATTTCACTCACTCACACTTTCATTTAAGACTATTTCTCTTACATTAACCAAATAATCTTTGGCTTTCAGTTCTTGACTGTGGCAAACATTTATAAATTGCTATAAAACCAATTCATCAGACTATTTTCCCTCTATCTAAATCATTTCATTCTTCAAAGAACTTTCAAAATATGTGGCTTACTTCTGGTTTTGTACATTTATTCAATGAATATTCTTTAAATGCTTGCTACAGCCTGAACTCACTGTAAAACATCCCAAGAGCAGGGCTGATTTTACACTCCAAAAGCGTGCATGCACAACTGGTCCCAGAGTAGACATTCAGCAAGGTCTTGTGAGAAAGAGCCATGTACTAAGCACAATTCTTTGTTTGCTTATTTGTCGACACAGGGTTTCTCTGTGGATCCTTGGCTGTCCTGGAACTAGCTCTGAAGACCAGGCTGGCCTTGGATTCACAGAGATCTGCCTGTCTCTGCCTTTCCAGTGCTGGGATTAAAGGCATGCAGTACCACCGGCAGATTCATAAACACAATTCTTTTTTTTTTTTTTTTCAAGACAGGGTTTCTCTGTATTGTTTTGGAGGCTGTCGGTCCAGCCCGGCCTCAAACTCTCCATAAACACAATTCTTACTAGAACTTCCATTGAAGATACAACACAGAGTGCCAAGGGTGCTGGCTAACACCTATAATCCTGACAGTCAAGAGGCAGAAGTTCAAGTCCAGCCTGGCCTACATATCGAGTTCCAGGCCAGCCAGGACTTAATAACAAGTAGTTAGTTAAATAGAAAACATAGCTAGTGAAGAACAATTATTTTAATACCCATCTTCACTTAAGCATATCTCCATTGTAAGATTTAAAATGTCTCTAAAGGTAAACAAAGGAGAAGAGGAATATAGGAGTGGAGGGAAGGAGGAGGGGAGGGGAGGAAGGGGTAGAGGGGAGAGAGGAGGTTCTCAAAGAACTTACTTGCTAACTTCTTTATACTGGGCTATCTCCTCAATATAAAGCAGGTCGTGCAACCGTGACTGATAGTTAGCCTTGGTCAATGATTTGTCTAAAACAGACTGCGTAAACAGCTGGTCAGCAGAAAGAGGGATTTGGTATCTGATCAGAAGGCTCTTCTCCAAATCAGTAGTTTCATTAGGTTCAAAATCTACAATAGTCTTAGAAGAAGAATCCCAGCGCTTGGCTGTAGTTACCAGCTGCTGTTTTGCATGCATCAGGTATTCAAGATCTAAAGAAAAACAAGAAACACATTTACAAAGGAACACGATGTTAAATTCTCAAGTGAATAGGTACTTATTTTTGTAACAGAGTTTCACATGCTAGAGCTAAAATTCTTAAAATAAAACACAAAACTCATTGAGAGAGTACTTTCCCCATGTCTGACATATCTTTGGCCATTTTAACAAAATAACATTATTAGGAATCAATGTAAGAACACATTTTTATACATTAGGCTAGGTCATGCCACAAATAGCTATTTTCCGGTTAATATTCAGAACTTAACTCTTCCGTCAAGAGACACCTGATCAATTCCCTGTATGACAAAATGTACTGAGTGATGGTTAACAGTGACCTTCCTCCTCATCCTGGCAGAACTTGCCCCATAACAATAAGAAGAGAGGAACCAAAGTTCTGAAAGTGTCAATCTTTGCTTGTGTGGCAAAGCACGGAGAAGCTGTCTGAACAATCACCTTGCTACCAGCACCAATCTGTTAGAAGACATGGATATACAACACTGCCAACTCCTTGGAACATGTGATAGGAAGTCGCTTGAATGCCACTTCCCAAAAGGCCAATTATACTGTAAGCAGGGCACAATGTGAAAACCATTTGAAAGAGATGTAACATAGGCCAGCAAAGATGAGTCACAAGAAGCTCACAGTACACTATCTGAGACTTACTGGGTGGAGTGTGCTGGCCAAGAAAAGCAAAACATAGCCAAAAGTAGAAGTTGTCTGACTCATTAGGCAAAGGTTGAGTTTTGATATAGGAGTAAGACTTTCCTATTTCAGACAGAGCTCAGGGGAAGTCACATCAAGCTGTCTCTGAATTAGAACAGGTGTAACTGCAACTTCCCATTCAGTTAGTAGTTTGGCAAGTTTATTTAGATTATTTTGTGGTACTAGAGATCAAACACAAAACCCAACATATTCTACCACTGAACTACACCCCAAGTTCCTGTATTGCAACCTCTAATGTCACATATGCATTATAAGCACATATGCAATCATTCACAAAGAAATTGCACAACAGTAGCAAGTATCTAAATACCTTATTGTTTGCTTTCTGTTTTCCTTAATCCTATTATCTTAATAAAAGTGTATAAAGGTCCTAATTTCTACCTTTTGATCCTTGTGAAAGCATTTTTCTAAGAGTGTTGCTATTTCTCAGACAGCAACATAAATACAATTATCGCAGCAGTAAAATTGAACTACCCATTAAAACTACACCTCAAACTACTCTAGGGACTGGAGAGATGACTCAGCAATTAAGAACACTTACTGCTCTTTTCAGGACAAGTGTTTGACTTCCAGCACCCATGACAGATGGCTCACAACCAGCTCCATGAGAGCTGACACCCTCTGGTAGAAACACGAATGACATAAACTAACACAGACACACACAAAATTTTTAAATAAATTGAATCAGGCATGGTAGCATATGTCCTCAATCTCAGCACTGGGGAGATAGAAAGGCAGGCAAATCTCTGAGTTTGAGGCTAGCCTGATCTACAGAGTGAGCTCTAGTACAGTCAGGAATACAGAGAAACCCTGTGTCAAAAACCAAAAGAGAAAAGAAAGAAAAAAATTAGTATGTAGATGGATGTCTAACTTCTATTGTAAGGTGGAAATTTTACATTTCATAATTACATTATAGATTTTATTTAAGTGACTTTAGTCTACACTTCAAGCAACACATTCTCATATCATTTAAAAGTCACTGACTACTTCTATGTCCCTTAAAGTGCTTAGAAAAAAAGAGCAAAAATAGTATCCTGAGAATGCTATGGATAACACATTAAAATCTGCACAAATTGGTACACGCCTTTGATTCCAACACTGGGGGGGGAGGCACACAGAGGCAGGTGAATCTCTGTGAATTCCAGGACAGGCTCCAAAGCTACAGAGCAACCCTGTCACGAACAAAAAAAAAAAAAAAAATCTGCACAAATAATACAGAAGTTCAATTTCTCTACTTTTGACTAGAAGTATTAAATTTGGGGGACATGGCATAAGCAACAGTATTTTTTAACATTTTATGTACATAGTGTCATAATTTACACTTTGAAGAAATTCTTGAGTTAGAAGAACCATAAAATTTTTAAACAATGTTAATCTTTATCCCATTTCATTTTGGGGGGCTATAGGGCATGATCTCACATGTAGCCTAGGCTAACCTAGAATCTGGGGTTGCTTCCCAAGCACTAGGATTAATTGATGAGCCACTACAACCAGCATCGTGTTCCTATGGAGGAGAGGGAAACGCTGTAGCAGTAGAGCAGACACTTGGAAACACCCATTTGTGAACAGCTGGTGGCTCCTAAGAGGCTTCATAGAACTAATTCTCCTGGGAGTCAGACTTCCGCCTCGGTTCTTCATTCCTCTTCCTTGTGTTTTGTTTGCTTGTTTCCCTCTTGGTTTTGAAGGGCTTTTTTTGGGGGGGGGTAATTTTTAGAGAGTCTTCCTCTATAATAGCTCTATGGCTGGCACTTGCAGTCATTCCTCTGCTTCAGCCTCTCAAAAGCTAGGATTGCAGGTGTGAGCCACCACGCCTTGCTCATTCCTTTCCTGAAAAAACTGTTAAACTGTGTAATGACCCACTGATTTACAGTGTTTAAAGGTCATTACTTCTTGAGTCTCTTACAGAGACTCCTACAGGTGTGTTCAATACCATCCTCAGCTGTAACTCCTGCACCTGCGAATTAGCACTGCTCAGGACTGCTGAGCAACTCTTCATCCATGGCAGGTATGTTCCCTCAACCTACATCAGCCTAAAGTGAAACACACTCTTGAAAGACAAAAAGGAACAAACTTGAACAATATTATTAACACTGATCATTAACCAACTCTTGTAGTAATAATCTCCAAGAAAACCTGACAGAAATTACAAACCTACAGAATATGCTACCTTGAGGTGTGGCAAGTATGCAGAAGCTATAAATACATTTAAGAGAAATCCACAGAAAATTAAACTGGACTATTGCCCAGCATGGGTGAAAGCCTGCACTAAATCCTCAGCATCACCAAAAACCTAACCAATGGGATATACTTGACAACATGGAAGGGCTGCCACTCTCAAAAATAGCCAATTCTGGGCTACAAAGCTGGCTCAGAAGTTAAGAGTACTTGCTGCTCTTCCAGAGTACCAGAGTTCAGTTCCCAGCAACTACATTAAACTCACAACTATCTATTACCCAGCTCCAGGGAACCAATGCCTCTGGCCTCTGTGAGAACCTCCACTCATTTGTACATACCCACATGCAGACATGCACAACTACACAGAATTGTAAAAGAATAAAATAAATCTTTTCACAAAAATAGTCAACTCAACTAGAATAGCTAGTCTGACACAGAAACACTTCCCAATATCCTTAAGCTCTCCGATGTTAAGGCTTACATTAAGTCTGTTTGCATTCCAGCCCCAAAGCTACTACCCATTATAATATAATATCCAAAGGAAAACCTTGCTTTGAAATATGAAATGCAATCAATTTAAACAGTATCTTTAATGGGGCCTGGAGACTGCACAAGAAGATGGTGAGAGGAAAACAAAGCAGAGACAGCCTATAGGCGTCCAATAAATGTAATTTATTAAAAGCAGCTCTATTTATCTAAAAGCTAGATAAAATGCTTCCTAATTTCAAAGTCAGACACCAGTTTTTCTTAAAAGACCAAAGTTTTGGTCTCTCTGATTACAAATAAAGCCCAAGCACACAGTAACTCCCAACTAGCACTTCCGTTTCCATTTCACTCTCCCATACCGCTACCCAGAGGCAACATGAAGTCTTCTTGGCTGTGCCAACCACTGGCCCCTATCTTCTCCCTCTTTAAGAGGCTAATAAGAAGTCACACACACTCTCTCTCTCTCTCTCTCTCTCACACACACACACACACACACACACACACACACACACACACACGCGCGCGCGCGCACACACACACACACACACACCATACGAACACAAAACTGTGGCAAATGTGGTGGTCCACACCTTTACTCCCAGCATCTGAGAGGCAAACACAGGCAGATATCTGTGAACTTGAGGTCATCCAGGGCCTGGTCTACTGAGTGAGTTCCAGGACAGCCAGGGCTACACAAAGAAACGCAGTGTCATGGGGCAAAGCAGGGGGTATACCCCAGGTAACCAGACTGAAACAGTAAAGACAGCAGGCAGCTTCTCCTCGTGTTATCATTCCTTACATTGAACTTTGATGATAAACTTTAAAACCTTCTTTTTCTAATGTTTTGCTGATCATACAATGTTCATAGATAGCAGATATGTGTAGTTTGTCATCACCTTTGGCAAGGGAAGTCATTTTTAAAGGGGACTAAATTTTGCAGTGATGTTATCATGTCTTGCTAGATTCACAACACAGAAATGAATGCGATATTTCCAGATTCAAACCTAAGAATAAACTGTAAATAGACTATTTCCAGATGTCCAAAACACAACTCCAAATCAGTGTCTCCAAAATCTCCTATCAGGGGAGGCTGTGTATACACACAGCATGCAAGCAAAGCTCGATAACTTCCCTTGTCTTTGATCACACACTTTGAGTCATAACTCCTAGTTTACCTAAAAACAATTTTAATAAATAGCATATTTTTCTAAAACTCAATAGCCAGGAAAACAAGTAGGAAATAAAAAAGAAAAAGCACAGCTGAAGTCACACACTTCTTCAACAGTTGGGGTTATTCTATAACTACAAAAAGGAATGGACACTGCAGATAATAACAATAGTGTGGGGAAAAAAGAAATGAAATCAAGCAAGAGAGATGGCTCAGTGGTTAAGAGCACTGACTGCTCTTCCAGAGCTCGTGAGTTCAATTCCCAGCAACCACATGGTAGCTCACAACCATCTATAACAGGATCTGATGCCCCCTTCTGGCATGCAGGTACATACATATGCAGAACATTCATACATAAATATATAAACAAATACAATTTTTAAAAAGGAAAAAGAAATCTATGGAGTTGTGTTTCAATTCAACTCAAAAGCTAAATTAACTAATGAAGAAAGTTTTTTAGTTCATTGATTAACAATGAACTAGGAAAATACCATCTGTCATACAACTCGACTGTGAGTCTCCCTGAGTCACACTGAGGCAATGAAATACCAACATCAGTCAGTCTGAAGGGCACAAACAGTCTTTGGTGGCTGAGGCACAGTAGGACTGAGGGAAACTGGGCAGCATTCCTTACCATAGGAGCTGCTAGTAATGTCAGTGGAGATGGCCCAGTGGAGCCAACTGTGTAACGTTATGGAAGAAAACTATCTCCAGTGTTATTTAAGGACAAAACTTGCTTACCAGTTGTGCTGCTTAGTTTTAGGTCAACATGATGCAAGCTAGAGTCATTTGGGAAGAAGGGTTCTCAGTGAGAAACTGTCTCCGTGGTCTGGCCTGAGGGTAAGTGCATTTTCTTAATGAGAGACTGGTGTGGGAGGGTCCAGCTCATTGGGGGAGGTGCCACCTCTGCATTAGTCTGCCATCCTTCCCATAAGAAAGCAGACTGAGCAAGCACTCCTCCACTGCCTCTGCATTGGCTCTTGTCTCCAGGTTCCTGCCATGACTGCCTTTAGTCATGAACTGAGGGCTGGAAGTGTAGGAGAAACAAACCCTTTCCTCCCATTAACTGCTTGTGGTCATGGAGTTTAACACAGCAAGAGCAAGCTGAGACAGAAACTGCACCAGGAGTGGGATATTGCTGTGATACACTTGACCATGTTTTGGGGAGGACTATACAAAGACTTTGGAACTCTGGGCCAGACAAGTGCTCCGAGCTCAGTGGGCTCTTCGGTGTGAACTGAACCAGTGCTGAGAAGAAGCCAGGAAAACATTGGCTTCCCTCAACCACATCAGTTCCTGCTGTCAGGTTTCTGCCCTGACTTCCCTGGATGATGGACTACAAGCTATAATATGAGGCAAACCCTTACCTCTCCAAGTTGCTTTTTATTGTGTTATCACAGCAATATAAACCCAATGAAGACACAAATAGCCAATCAAGTGGAAGAAGCAAACAGTAGAGATGAAGACAAATCCCATTCAAATGGCAGATTCACTTCCTCACTAAATTTCTGTGAATGCAGTCAGGCCCATCCCTAAAGATGTGCCCAGGATCAAGTCCTCACAACACCTACAACATTTACCATCTAGTCCTTCATTAAAAGATGTTTTATACACCCGGTGCTTTTATTTGTATTTTATCTACTGGCATATCTATTTTTGGCTATGGAAATTAACATATTTTGTTCCTACCGAGAAAATGACAAAATTACATACAAACAAATAAAATGTAAATGAGATCAAACAAAGCAGAGAATGAAATAAAATGAAGCCTGGGTTACATTAGCACGCACAAAGAAGACATTGCCTAACGACAACAGCTTGGCACAAATGTCATAGTAAAGGCCAGTCATGGTCATACACACTCATAATTCCAGTGCTGGGGAGACTAAGGCAGGAGATTTATGCATTCAGGGCCAGTCTGGGCTACTTAGTGAGACCCAATTCCAGAAAATTAGACAGACAGACAGACAGACAGACAGGCAGGCAGACAGACAGACAGACACACAGACAAATAGGTGTGTCACCTCAACTTCCAGGGGAAAAAAGAAAAAGAACAGTTCTACTGCCTGGTTACCATGTGTTTGCTCATGAAAAGAAAACTGTCCCAGGTTCTCATTAGTAGGACACTGGTACTTGGGAGTAAGCATCCTCTCTACATTATGGTTAGTTCCAGTCAGCACAGTACCAAGTTTCATCTCTCCCTACAGCTTATTACATAGTGTCATTAAAGACATCCTTAATCATTTGCTTAATAAATTAAAGCGCCTATAATCCAACCAAGAGCCACAGAAGTATGAGCTAGCATGCCCTTTCCTTGTCCTACTGGAGTTGGACATCAAATTTAGGTAGAGGCACCACCAACAATATACAAAGCAAATCAGCTGCAGCATCAAGCATGCAGGGGCCCCTTCCCTTCCCAAAGAACTGAGCAGATTCTGTTGAGACGCCCTACCCTCCTTAACAGTAGAGTGAGGACACACAATAACTTAAAATTGATATTGAGGGCTTTTCCTTCAGAGATGAAATAGTAGCATTAGCAAAGCTAACTGAAGAGTCAGTAGGAAATGGAAATAGACACTGGAGGTATATACGTCATTACCCTTAGAAAGACATTCTAGTCAAACAAATACTAAAAGGTCTGGCTGTGCTAAAAACCATATTACTTTAACATGAAATTGCTAGACCAAAACAGACCTAATTACCTATTCATGTTAGGTAAGTTTAGGGGACTTCAAAGCAAGATTTGCCTGATGACTGCATGAAGAGATCAAGGCACAACCTGACCCATTTTATGGTCATTACACAGTGAGTAAGTCAATTAACATGGGAATTTTTCCTTTTTATTCCCTCCCTATCTGAGGAATATTTAGGGGTCAATACATATCTTTTAACCTTGCCTTTTAATACATTGTATCGGGGGAAAAAAGTCTAAATATTACCTTCTGTAGAAGCTGCATCAATCATTACTCTTTGCATGAGTACTGGCTCCAATCCAAAGTCGAAAACTATGGTTTGGCGAAAAGTTCCAAATATTTCTGTGTTAAATGCTATCCCGACTTTATACACGTAATGATCTAATCCATTTTGGGCCATCTTTCCTCCTATCCATTCTTGACAGTTTTCGGGGACTTCTTGTGATACCTGGGTAGTACTATCTCCGGCAGATATGGCAATGATACTAAAATGAGGACGATGAGCATCATAAAGCAATGCTACCCGATACAGCATTCTTGCAGGCTACAAGGAAGTTAAAATAATTCATTGAGTACAAGGGGGTGGAAATTCAATTGTAACTGGGCTCTTCAATGAAAATATTCCCAGAAGGGTCTGCTACTCCCCATGTTTCTAAAGAACTATTTTGTCCAACAAACTGCTCACAAGCTATTTAAGAAGAAAAAGAAAAACAAAGACAAAACAGAATGGTTAAAGCAAAGTTTCTAAATATACGTATGCTACATCATCAGCCTCCCTGGACCTTTTGCATACGTTCATCTTTCCCAGTGGCAAAATCTGCCACCTTGGGTCAGCCTCTAACTATGCTTACAGAGCCTCACGTAGGAAGCTGTGAAGGAGGACAGTTACCTCTGAGAGCACTGGATTGGGTTCAGGGCTGAAGCTAAACATTCCATCTCAAGATGCAGGTGGTGCCGAGGAGAAACACCACTAAAAAGAGTACAAAACCTCTCCACCCAACATATTCACTGAAATGGTTAACTCTATTCCAATCTTAGCCTGTGACCATCATAATTGAAGATGAGAAGCACCGCAGAAAATGTCTCATATTGAAAACCCTCTCTAGGGCTGGGGATATAGCTCAGTGGTAGAATACATGCCTAACATGGGCAAGGCCCATGAAACACAAAAAATAAATTAAAGAGAAATACACATTATTACAAAATCTTTGACTTCATCAAATGAAATGCAAAAATGGGTTTTCATTGCAAAAAATTCTTAGAACTGCCAGATTAAATAATCCAATTATAAGCCATGAACCCCATCCTATGTTCCAAGTTTAGAAGGTAATGTATGTCAGACTTCTTTACCAAGAAAATAAGAAGGTGTCCTACGTAGCTAAATGGATCCTACTTCAAAGTGGAAAAAAGGGTATTTAATGACTGAAATACAGACACCCACTTTGGCACAGTACAGAGCCTACATGAAATGTACTCAGAGTAAAACATTTGTAACGCTCTCAGAGCAGACATTTAAAGTCCAGTAAGCTTCAAGAAACTGAACAAATCTGGTCATCTTTAATCAGCATGAGCTTCCTACCTTACAGGTCAGAGCAAAGGTCCATGTCTGGTGGGATCTTTTGGTGTTGACGGTGACCGACAAGTCAGGGTTGTGCTCCACCTGAACTCCCTCTATGCACTCGCTAAGCTGAAAGCAAAGAGGGATTCCTGTCAGAGTCCGAGGGTGGAAACACAGGTGTGAGCCATGACCAAAGATGGAGCGCTTGCTGACCAAGGGACTTCACACACCCCTTCCCAGCATGCTTACAAGACTGGCGTGTGATGCAGACAAAGGAAAATTAACAGCCAAAAGCTGAGAACCTCCCTAAATGAAGGTCATTGCTGTAGGTGCTGCAAACCTCCAGACAAATGTTCATTTATTTCTGCCCTTCATTTTAACAAAAAAAGCAGCTCTGTTACTAAAAACATCACTTTATCAGAAACATGTTTTCAGCCAGGCAGTGGTGGCACACGCCTTTAATCCCAGCACTAGGAAGGCAGAGGTAGGCAGATCTCTGTGAGTTCGAGAACAGCCTGGTCTACAAATTGAGTTCCAGGACAGCCAGGGCTACACAGAGAACTGTCTCAAAAAAGCAAAACAAACAAACAAACAAACATGCTCTTAGTAGACTAAAGGAATAGGCTACAATTGAGTAAGCGAGAAAGCAGCGATGAAGCCATGCACTATAGAGCAAGAGCAACTTCCAGAAGGCGGTTATTCTTACCACTTTCTCAGGAGACAGCGAGCTCATCCACTTTTCTATCAAGGTTTCCATGTAGCTGCCCGAGAGCTGTTTATTCTCGTTTTGCTGCTTCAGTTTTATTAACCGCGAGGCGTATCTTTTCTGCCACTCTGCTAATTCTTCCTGGGAATGTGCTGAAGTACACTGGGCACCATACCTACAGATTCCTTGCTCTAAAAACCTAAGAGGAATGGGAAAGACTGTTTTATATACGTTCAACCTTTTTGGGGGGGGGTGGAAGGGGAGTGAGGCAAGGACTTTTAGACACAGGGTCTCTCTGTGTAACCTTGACTGTCCTGGAACTCACTCTGTAGGCCAGGCTGACCTCGAACTCACAGAGATCCGCCTGCCTCTGCCTCCCGAGTGCTGGGATTAAAATGCTAGGATTAAGAGTGTTCGACCATTTAAGGATAACTTCCACCATTTGCCCTCTGCCTCCTCAGTACCAAGACAAGATCTTCTGAGAGGCCAGATTTACCCCTGACAAGTCCAATGAACAAACATCCCTGATAGTCAGAGCATCAACCCCAACTCCAATATCCCTGTACCCCTGTGCCCAAAATAAGACATTGAAGACACGCTCCCTTTGTGCTCCCTTAGACAGTTCTTGAAGCAATACTGACATGCAGTGGCCGAGCTGTTCACACAGCCATGATCTGACCTGCTCTGCACACTGGGAACCTCACAGCGTCACCTCTACCTTGACCTTGAGATGGGATGCGCGCTCTCTCTCTCTCTCTCTCTCTCTCTCTCTCTCTCTCTCTCTCTCTCTCTCTCTCTCTCTCTCTCTCTCTCTCTCTCTCTCTGTCTCTCTCTGTCTCTCTCTCTGTCTGTCTCTCTCTGTCTCTCTGTCTCTCTCTGTCTCTCTGTCTCTCTGTCTCTCTCTGTCTCTCTGTCTCTCTCTCTGTCTCTCTCTCTCTCTCTCTCTCTCTCTGTCTCTCTCTCTCTGAGACAGGGTTTCTCTGTATTGTTTTGGAGGCTGTCCTGGAACTCGCTCGGTAGACGTAGACCAGGCTGGCCTGGAACTCACAGAGATCCACCTGTCTCTGCCTCCCGAGTGCTGGGATTAAAAGTGTGCCACCAATGCCTGGCACGTATTCTCTTTTTTTCTGCATTTCTTCACTAAAACTACTAGCTAATGTTAAGTTTCAAGTAAATTTAGGCTTTTATAGTTCAGAGTCACAAATTCATGTAACAGTTACTCAGTTCTTCAAGAATTAAATACAGAAATGTTGACTTCAAAGAACACAGATAATGATACCTCAGGTGTATGATTCTGAACACTCAGCTTACCAGCTGCGGCTGTAGCTCAATGGAATATCACGTTAGCATGAGTGAAGGCCTAGATTCAGTCCCCAAATTCAAACACTAGAGTGACTACAGACAACAATATAATATAGATAATATTTCAGTCAGCTGGATTTGGAGTGTTCTTAGCACAAAGAAATGGTAAATGTTCAAGGTGAAGCTGCTTTGGTCCCTATTCAATACACATACAAATCAAATATTACATATATACACATACATACAAAAAATTAGATGTCAAGCAAAAATCATTGTTTTTTATAAAAGGAAACTTAATTGAAAATTTTATGGTCAAAATAAGAAAACCAAATTGCTTTGATCATTAATTTTGAAAAAATACTTTAAAATACCTGCAAAACTATGTAAAGTTTGATCCTAAGTCAGTAAACACATTCTAAAATTGATGAAAGATCCTCTGAGGAAAAAAATTAAATACATTTAACAAAACAAACACAAGGCAGATGTTACATGTGGACAACTGGAAAACCTGCACGGCTCATCTCACCGGTGCCTCTAAAGCATCCAAAGTGAGTGTGAAACACGAGAACCTAGGATGCAGCTGATTCTTAAATCCTCATCTGCTTCAGAAAATGTGTGTTCACTGTCTATATACAGTATGTATATAAAACCTGTCTAAGGTTTTCACTACTTATTAGTTAAGAGCACCGGCCTCTTTTCCAGGAGACCCAGTCTCAATTCCCAGCCCCCACCCCCATGACAGCTCACAACTGTCTGTAACTCCTGTCCAAGCGGAGAATCCAACACCCTCATCAAGCCTCTGTAGGAGACGGGTACATTACATGGTGCACAGACACATATGCAGGTAAAACACTCATACACATAAAAAATTTTTTTCAATTATTTCCCTCGAGCCAGGCAGTGGTGGCACGCCTTTAATCCCAGCACTTGGGAAGCAGAGGCAGGTGGATCTCTATGAGTTCAAGACCAGCCTGGTCTACAAGAGCTAGCTTCAGGACAGCTTCCAAAGCCACAGAGAAACCCTGTCTCGAAAAAAGAAAAAGAAAAAAAAACTATTTCCCCCAAAAAAAGAAAAAAGGGGGTTCTATTCTCCTCTAGACTCTAATTCTTGGATTTCTTTTTCAAAGGATGGTATTCTCTGTCCAATAACTTGGCCCCACAAGGACTCGCCGTGTTTCCTAGTTGAGTGCCTCATTTCCACTACAAACTCCCTGTCATCTGGACTGCCTCACCACAGCACACATGGCACTCCTTTCCCTGTGCAGCCAGTCTAGGGCACCAAGCTCTATGCCAAGCCCCACCAGCCACTCATTCTACTGAAAGGAACTGAGGAGCTTGCCCTTTAAAATGGAACTTCAGTTTACTCTCTACAATTTTAGAAGTAATTAATTATCAATAATGAGCTACAACATTAATTCTGTCTGAAAGTCCTTCAAAAAAAGTACTCAAATTGCATATACAAGAATCCCATGACAGTATTTTTTTCAGAAAAATCACTAAAATAATTGAATATGACTGATATTGTCCTCTCTTTCAGTTTATAGGAACTAATTTCAACTCCAATTACCACATCTTAGTAAATTCCACACTAAAAGCAGCCCGCAATTAAGTTCAGCCAGCATGAAAGCCTTTTGAACAAAGTCTAAACAGGCTGCTTTCACACGCCTGTTGTTTCAGATTAGTCTCATGGATTTGGCGCTGACCTGTGCAGTTTCTGTTTCAGACTGGAAACAAACCATTTCCCTTGATCATTATACTTTCTCTTTCTTCACATATTATCTTCTTTGAATTTAAATTATTGCCTTCAAAGAGTGAAGGAAAATTAGCTCTCCTTTCAAAAATGAGACATGTAATTTATTTTTATATTTTCTACATTACCTTTTACACAAAGTATATTCCTCGCTGCTTGTGATTCCCCTGGGTGGCGGACGGAAATGCCAACCATTACAAGACCCTAGGAAGTAATGAGGACATAATCGTGTCACGTGAGGTCACCCCATCGTTCCAATATTTTAACATCTAAGAATCACATCCCTCCACATGTATCATCCCACATGATCTAAAACAGACAAGACAAAGGTGCCCCTACCAATCGACTGAGCCAGTCAATGGACTCTGAAGCAGCTTGCTGCAGAAGCCACTACCACGCAGTGAAATCAGGTTGGTGGCACTGCCTCCCATCTAACAGTGGGGGGGATGGGCTTCCTCCCAGGGCAATCTCTTCTCTGGGGAGCCGCTGAGATGCTTGTCATTCCTCAGCACGGGATGCATTTCTATGGGAAACTCCTTCAGGAATGAAAAGTGACTGTGCGGGAAGCCCTGCCACTAAACCCTGACTGAGACACATCACCACACAACAGTGTGCAACAATGAAGCTCAAACAGTTAAGCATATATAGGAGCTAAGCGCATACATTTCTCAATACAAACGACTTTGACTGATTTAGATGAGGTTCAAAAAGAGCCAAGGAAAATAAGGCTTAGGAGAGAAAGGCTAAGCAGCTGTTTTCTAGTCTCACAAGTTCTGTGTCCCAAGCTCCCCTCGGGGAACAAGAAAGGTATTCTACCAGGTTATGCCTAAAAGTTGTTTCATTCATGACCAGCTGGGTGACTTAGGGAAACTACTAAACCATAATAATAAATATTTATTTTAACACTGACTACAGAGATGAAGGCAAACCCTGAGAAACCAGTGTGTATTTTATGAAACCCACTTTAGCATGGAGCAGGCTAGCCTTCAGGGCAAGCTAGGAGAGTAGGCATACTGGTTCACACCTGCAATCCAAACACCATCCAAGTGCTCAGAAACAGAGGCAAGAGCATCAGCAGATCAAAGCCAGCCTCAGCTATGGAGTTATTTATGGAGTTATTATTATTCAGTTAACCTATGAAAAGGTTTCAGAAAGACTTGGGGGATTTTTTTGTTTGTTTGTTTGTTTGATTTGGGGGAATTTTTGTTGTTATTGTTGCTGTTTTGTTTTCAAGACAGGGTTTCTCTGTGTGACAGTCCTGGCTGTCCTAGAACTCGCTCTGTAGACCAGGCTGGCCTTGAACTCACAGAGCTCCACCTGCCTCTGCCTCGTGAGTGCTGGGATTAAAGGTGTGCACCACCACTACCTGGCATTTCATCTAACCTACTTCTAAATGTTTATATCTCCAACTAAAGAGACTATAGTCAGAATTTCTTCTCAGAAATTCTTCAATTAAAAAGCAAGGGGGTAAAGACCAATTTAGTACTTACCTTCATCTAAGTCTTCCACATGACATCCAGGGAGGACACTACTTGCTGTCTGCAATTTTCAAATGAAAGAGGTGTAAGAGAAATAAAAACTACTGACTGATGCTGACTTTAATTTGGGCATTTCCAATGTTAAAAATAAAAGAAGAGGGGACTGGAAAGATAGCTCAGCTGTGAAAAGCACTGGCTGCTCTTACAGAGGACCAGGGTTTGGCTCCCAGGACCCACAGGGCAACTCACAAGTTCCAGATCCGATGCCCTTTTCTGGCCTCTGTGGTCATTACCGACACAAGGTGTACACACATGCACGCAGGCAAAACATTTAAAAATATAGAAAAACCTGTCTACATGGAAGTTTCCAGAAACAATGTGGTGTGTAACATTTTTGCTCTTTTTATTTCATTATAAAAGCATGACAATGAAGTACTTGCCAGATACCCTCCCTGCAGTGTAAAAGCATCTTGCTACCTGAAGAAAAGTCTACATTCTGAAACCTCTGAGCAGGCAGCTGCCATCCCACATGCTGGCTTCAACTCTCAGCCTAACACCTGAAGAATCTCCTGGCCAAGAACAGGACTACTGCCGGGCGGTGGTGGCACACGCCTTTAATCCCAGCACTCGGGAAGCAGAGGCAGGCAGATCTCTGTGAGTTCGAGGCCAGGCTGGACCGACAGTCTCCAAAACAATACAAGAAACCCTGTCTCCTAAAACCAAAAAAAAAAAAAAAAAAAAGAACAGGACTACTTTTTACTCCCGCAAGTAATGATGTGTTAGCAATTCTAGCTTTCCTGACACTTCCTGCCCAGTCCACCTCCATCTGGGGCAAGTCTTTCTTTCTACAAGGCTGCAAGTCGAGGGTCTCCTGTCTCTATCTTCCTAAGAGTATCTCACACACTCTAGTGCAGCCAATCCCTGATGGTATGAAGACTGCTCATCAAAGGCAATGCCTTCTTTCCTGTCAGCCTCCATCAGAGTAGCTCTCACACGGTGGGCACTTCAAACACAGTATGTGCAAAGCCTGATTCATCAACTTTACTCCATAGATAAGCCTCTCTAGTAAGTGTCTCAAGGAAAAGGAGTCTTCCCTGGGCCTAGCCACATGCTGAACTCGTTTTGCTTTTAAACAATTTTTATGACATTCCCTGATGTGTCTGAGTGTATGGACACACCTGGCACAGCAAGAATGAGGAGGTCAGAGCAAAATTGGCAACAGTCAGTTCTCTCCTTCCACTACCTGGGTCCCAGGAACTGAACTTACTTGTCTGCATGAGCTATGCATCTTTACAGGCCCCTCTGCCCCTGCCTGGCACCTGTGCTGCCAGAGCATCCTGAGAGCTGTAGCTGTTCACCTGGATGCTTAGCATTTTCAAACCAATTCCCTCATTTAAAAACATCTTCTAAGTCACAGACTTAAAAAGATACAGATGATTTAAGGATTATCTTGTTTGAGTTTTTCAATGTTGTGGGTTTTTTATAAATAATTTATTTATTTTTATGTGTATTGGTGTTTTGTCTACTTGTATGTCTGTGTGTGGGTTTCAGATTTTGGAGTTACAGGCAGTTGTGAGCCACCATGGGTGCTGATAATCGAACCCTCTCTCTAGCCCTTAATGTTGTATTTTTTGACTGAAAGAAATAATTAAAAATTATAATTTCCCAGGAGCTGGGGAGATGGGAGTTGAGAGCATTGACTCTCTTCCAAAAGACCTGGGTTCAATTCCCAGTATCCACATGACAGCTCACAACTGTCTGTGACTTCAAAATCTGACACTCTCACACAGACATACTTACAAGCAAAACAACAATGCACAGGAAGTTAGAAGAAAAAAAATTTCCCAAGTACCTTCCATTTGGGGGTCAGAGATAACAATAAGAACACCCACATGGGAGCCAGAGAGATGACTCAGTGCATGAACAACTTGCTATGCAAATGTGAAGACCAGAATTCAGATCCCCAGAACCCATGTGAAAGCCAGAAGACATGGTGATCTCTACAATCCCAGCACTCACAAGGCAGAGACGAGATCCCAAGGACAGCTGGCTAGCTCATCTAGCCAGAATTGTTATGCTCCAGGTTCAGTGAGAGACCCTGCCTTAATAAATAGACAATAATCGAGGAAGACATCTTATATCAACCTCAGGCCTCCACATGTACACAAACATACATGTGTACTCACACCCACACATCCATGTGTGCCCACACATGGGAGAATACACATACACAAGCCACACACGTATACATATGCCAAAAACAAAGAATTATAGTCGGAAGAGAAGAGCTGGGATGCAGAACAGAACAGCGCTCTGAGGGTGGGACCCAACCCAGTTGCACAGAAGGTCCCCTGTCACCTCGCATCTTGACTAACAGAATGCTCACCAGCCTCGCTGGGATTGATGCACCTGTAGGGATTCCCACAATGGACTCACCTCTGTCTCTGTGAGAAGCGTCTTGAGTCTTGTCAAATCCTTTGTTACCATCCCATTCTGCAACGGAGAAGACGGAAAACCATCAGTGTCCAGTTCTTTAGTCTCACAACTCAGCTCTCCCCTCCCCTTCCTCCACACTGAGGAAAGGAAAGAGGACTAACGGGAAGAAAGACCCAGCTGCTGCTTCTGCTAAATACACACACTGCACGCACTCACCTGATGGACAGGGGTAAAATAATCTCAGCACTCAGGAGGCAGAAGCAGGCACATCTCTGAGTTTGAGGCCTACCTGGTCTACAAAATGAGTTCAGGTCAGAGGAGTTACATGAGACCCTGCCTCAATAACTATTTTTTTTTAATTCTATAAAATGCTTGCCAAGCTATCAATGTAAAACAAAACCTGAGAAAAGCAAACCTAAAACTATTTATCCCCTCTCTCTTGGTGCTAATGGGCTTTTCTGCATATATGAAATGCTGAGCTCAGTGGTTATCCACCAGCATAGAAACCAAGGAGATAGTACAGTGCCTAAAGATGGCTCATTCATTTGTTAATTTTTGAAATTCAAATTTCAGAAAATTTGAAAATTAAAAATAAATTGCTTAAAATTAAAAACCCCAACAGATTCAACTATAAAATAATTATAGAAAAAAAAAAACACTTTTAAGGCTGGGCACACCTGTAACTGTTCCCTTTGAAAGATCAGGGAGGACCCCAAGCCTGAGGCCAGCCTGGGCTACATATACAGAAGGCCCTTGTATCAAACATATTTTTCTCTTGCTAGGAATGGTGACTAGCAACCGTAATCCTGGCACTCAGAAGCACACGGCAGAAGTCTGTCTCAAGGTCCAGGCGCCTCCTCAGAAGAAGAAAGACTTAGGTAGGTACATTTTGACAGCTACTTAGAGCTAAACAGCTGCATCACTTTAATGTACTCACATCCGTGGCCAAACTAAGGAAATAAATCACTGCACAGTCGCTCCTTACAGGTTGACTAAATTACCCTGAGGAGGAGCAATATTAATACACCTCAAAGCAGACTGAATACTTTTCTAATTTCTATGTTTTCACATCTGTGCTCTTGATTTTCAAAATCCCTATCAACTTGAAGCACAATGGACAAAGCATTTACACTGCCTGGCAATTATATACTTTCTTTCTTCTCTGCTTTTATTTTGATGTCTGAAAAATACCAAGAAACCCTAAAAAGTACTTTCTTTCAAATTTTCATAAATTATCAACTCTATGAAGTTACAAAAAGTAGCCTTTGATTATAACAAAAAAAACTAGAAATTTTACATATTTAAAAACTTTTCTTCGGGGCTGGAAAGATGGCTAAGCAGTTAAGAGCACTGGCTGCTCTTCCAAAGGTCCTGAGTTCAAATCCCAGCACCCACATGCTGGCTCATAGTGGAATCTGATGACCTCTTCTGGCATACAGTCATACATGCAGACAGAGCACTCATATACATAAAATCAATAAATCTTTAAAAACTTATCTTTGAAATCCACAAAGAATCAATAAAAATTAACTTTAAAAAACCTTAAATTCAGGTCTAAATATAACTAGATAGTTTCTATAAAGTAAATAAGGATATTAACTTAAACCCATTTAGTATGATGAAAACAATTAGTATATACATTAACCTTTAAAAAAAACTTTTCAATTCTAATTGTTTTGTTTTGAGACAAAGTCTCACATGGCCCTGGCTGTCCTGGAACTCAGATATCTGTCTGTCTTTGCCTGTGGAGCACTGGAATTACAGGTATGCACCACCACACCCAGCTTTGATTTTTCTTTTTTTTTGGGGGGGGAATAGTGGTTCAAGACAGGATGTCTTTGTGTAGCTTTGGCTATCCTGGAACTCATTCTGTAGATCAAACTGGTCTGCCTACCTCTGCCTCTGGACTACTGGGATTATCACTGCCCAGATGATTTTTTTAATTTTAAAAAGATGTCTTTGGTTACCTTATACTTGAGAACTCAGTAAAAGTACCTGTGATTTTTTTTAAAGATTTTATTTATTTATTATGTGTGGTTGCACACCAGAAGAAGACACCAGATCTCTTAATTGATGGTGTGAGCCACCATGTGGTTGCTAGGAATTGAACTCTGGGCCTCTGGAAGAGGAGTCAATGCTCTTACCCACTGAGCCATCTCTTTAGCCCAAGTACCTGTGATTTTTTTTTTTTTTGTTTTGTTTTGTTTTGTTTTTGTTGTTTTTTTGGTTTTTTTTTTTTTTCGAGACAGGGTTTCTCTGTGTAGTTTTGGAGCATAACCTGGCACTCACTCTGTAGACCAGGCTGGCCTCGAACTCACAGAGATCTGCCTGCCTTTGCCTCCCGAGTGCTGGGATTAAAGGCGTAAGCCACCAATAGCCGGCATACCTGTGATTTTTATATACACAATCACAAATGGCAAGGGTCCAATGACTTGAATGTCAGTTCATTTTAAAAAACTGAGCATCTTGGTTCTGTCATGAACTTTGACAAAACTACACTACACACCAAACATACACTATTTTCTTCATGCCCACACTCTTCAACTTACCAGAGACTCTCCTGACAGTGACTTGGCAAGGATGGAGGACACCAGCTGGAGCTTCCCCTGCAGCTGCATGCAGCACAGCACTGCCCGGAAGGCACCCTCTCCCTTGGCCAGCCCTTCCCCAAGTACTGCCAAGGAAGAAACACAGCATTAGCCACAGGGCACTCAGACCCAGTTTTCTTGCTTACAAAAGTAAGACATTCTAAGAATGACTCCAAACAGAAGAAACAAGCAGTAGGTTCTTTCTAAGACATGCACGCAAGGACAAGAAGGAACATGGCAAAGAACAGATGAAGCCTACTTCAACTTCTAGCATCCACACCTAGAGAGGCATCTTCTAAAGCTCTCCAGTGCGCAGCTGAGTAAGAAACGACAGGTCCTGTGGCCGTCAGAACTACAGCGACCCTGAATTGTGTACTTCAAGACACTGAGTAGAGAGGATCTTGAATACACCCACACCAAGAAAAGACAAATGTTTCAGATAATACCCCAGTTATCCTGATCACTGCATACTATATACATGCCTCAAAATATCACTCACACATAGGTGAAATAATTAACTGTCAATTAAGCAGAAAGAAAACAAGCAGTTGATGTTTTCAAAAAGGCACTAGTAGGGAATGGTGGTACATACCTACAGCCCAGTTAAGCAAGAGGCTGAAGCAGGATAACTGAAGCCAATTGGTTCCAGCTAAGGAAATATGGACCATGTTGGATAAAAGTGCTTGCTATGTAACTCCTATGACCTGAGATCAGTCAGTCTTCAGGCCCCTTAGTAGAAGCTGAGAATCCAAGAAGTTTCCCTATGGCCTCATGTGTGCGCACCACATGAGCACACATACACCCTCTATACACAATAATATTTTTTTAACTAAGTTCTTTTTCCAAAAAAATTGTTTACTATATCAGGTTACATGAGGGCTTTTAAGACTGCAGGTTTCAGGCTGGAGAGATAGCCGGTGAGTTTGAGGTTAAGGCAGAGAGGTTGGGAGAGGCTGAAGGAGACAAAGAAGGAAGAAAGGAAAGAGGGAGAAATTTCAATATTGGATAATTCTATGCAATTAAAAAATAGCCTTTAAAGCCAGGCAGTGGTGGTGCACACCTTTAATGCCACAACTTGAGAGGTAGAAGCAGTGGATCTCTGTGAGTTCAAGGCCAAGCTGGTCTACAGCCAGGTATGTTACACACACACACACACACACACACACACACACACACAGAGAGAGAGACAGAGAGACAGAGAGACACACAGAGAGACAGAGAGACAGAGACAGACAGAGAGAGACAGAGACAGACAGAGAGAGACAGAGACAGACAGAGAGAGACAGACAGAGAGACAGACAGAGAGAGAGCCTTCAGGGACTGGAGAGATGGCTCAGTGATTAAGAGCATCAGTTGCTCTTCCAGAAGACCTGAGTTCACTTCCCAGCACCCAGTTAATAACCATCTCCAGGTTCAGGGGAATCTATCACCGCTTCTGACCTCAAGCACTAGGTATGTACATGACACACAGAGATACATGAAGGCAAAATACTCTCCAGTAGACAGGTGTAATGCTGATAACTGAGTGCGGTGGAGGTGTGTGATTCGAGCAGTAGAGGGGTGGAAGCAAGGAGTATCAGAAGGTCAGGGTCATCCTCTGCTACATAACAAGTCTGAGGCTGTAAGTCAAAATTGAAACATTAATAAAAAGTTTTAAAAGCTGGAAAGTGTCTGAGAGAAAGGAGGTCCCAGATCTAAGGAGTGAGAAAGCTTAAGAACATCTCAACTTCAGATGACCCCATCCTTTTTCTAAAGATTAGTAAAGCACAGGCCATCAATTGTGGCTGAATTGAGAAAGGAATTTGCTTCCAAGAGACATCCTGAGTTTCAATCCCCAGAACCCACAAGGAAGGAAGGACAGAACCAAATCCTACAAGTTGTCCTCTGGCCTCCACATGTGCTCATACACACACACAAAGCATGCAAATGTAAAAATCTAGTAATATCTTTGTTTGTTTGCTTTTCAAGACAGTGTTTCTCTATGTAACAGCTCTGGCTGTCCTGGAACTCACTCTGTAGATCAGGCTGTCCTCAAACTCAGAGATCCCCCTGCCTCTGCCTCCCAAGTGCTGAGATTAAAAATGTGCACCACCATTACCCAGCCAAAAAAAATAAATTTCTAAAAATGGTAAATCACAAAATTTCTTATGAGGCTGAAGTGCTGCCTACTGGGTACCTATCATGGATCTCTGAGCTTGTACTAATTTGCTGAGTTTTACTTCCTGAGACTCTTCCATTGGCTGGTATTTGAAAGTCTCAGAGTTTATCAAAATGTTCCCTTTCTTCCAGCTTTTCAGACAAGTAGCTGTAACAGATTTTTCCAACTGTTTGTCTTAAATGCAATTTAACTTATTTCTCACATGGTCTATGTGAGGAATAAGAGCAACAAGAAAAACTAACTAATAAAGAGCATTCTTGACTTTGTGTCATATAACAAAATTAAATAGCAATGCTGCCAATCAGGCCTCTTACTATCTTTGCTCTCTTGAAAAAAGTTGAAAGAAATCAGAGTGTGGCAGCTTGTTATTAAACAAACTTGTCTCAGCTGTAATAATTGAACTTGAAAATGAAAATGGCATTAAAAGTATCATCTTTAGCAATTGTAAAGAAAAATCTTTTTCAAGTTAAATCCTACACAGATAAATTCTCTTCCCACCAATTCTGCAGATCTGTGTGCTCAGGTACTTCTCTGCAGCAGCCCCCTGCTGCACACAGGAGTGAAGGAGGAGCCTGCACACCCCACTTCAACTTCCCAAGCTCCTACTCCTTCTCTTAACACTTTGGCATAAACGTGATGCTCTGGACTGGAAACTGAGTAATACTAAAGGAATAATAGCCATTACCCTGTCAACAAGAACAGTCAGCTTAGGGTTGAGAGCTCTCAGCTATTCACAAGGACATGTGATTCCCTTTCAAGAATTACCTGCACCTTAAGCTTGAAGTACAATAAAAGGTGAGCTTTTTTTTTTTTTTTTGCAACAGGACAATATTCCTTTTTTTTTTTTTTTTTTGTCAAAACCTTAACTTCCATAGTCTTTTATTGAGGAGCTTGGCCTAATGAAAGCACTGTCCTAAAAATTCTTTAAAAAAAATAAAAATAGAACCTGGAGAGATGACTCAATGGTTAAGACACTGGCTACTCTTCCAGAGGACCCGGGTTCAATTCCCAGACTTACATGGTAGCTCACAACTGTATAAGTACAGTTTCAGGGAATCTGACACCCTCAAACAGACATACATGAAGGCAAAAGACCAATCAGTACACAAACATTTTTTTAAAAAAATACCAAAAAGGTTAAATTAATTTTTAAAAAAATCTGCTGCCTACATACAATCACTTTTAGAATCAATACTTCGAGGACTGAATCAAAAAACTAAAATAATAGCTGGGCGGTGGTGGCACACGCCTTTAATCCCAGCACTCGGGAGGCAGAGGCAGTCGGATCTCTGTGAGTTCGAGGCCAGCCTGGTCTACAGAGAGAGTTCCAGGACAGCCTCCAAAGCCACAGAGAAACCTTGTCTCGAAAAAGCAAAAAAAAAAAAAAAAAAAAAAAAAAATACTAAATAACTTCTCAGGAAGGCAAGATGGCTCAGTTGGGAAAGGCTCTTGCTGCACAGACCTAACCACTGGTGCTGAGTCCTGGAACCACATAAAGGTGGAAGAGAGAACAACCCTATGACATCCACACGAGCTACAGTACATGCCTACCCACACACACCCTGCAAACATACAATGATAACCTTTTAATTCGAAGCCCAGCAGAGTGGCCCACATCTGTAAGTCAAACACTTGAGAAACTGAGGCAAGAGAACTACCATAATCTTGAGGCCAGCCTTGACTCAGTAAGTAAGTACCAGTCAAGACTGTGTCTCAGAAATAAACTGTTTTATGCCCCGGATCCATATTATAAAAGGAAAAAAACAGTTCCTGCATGTTGTCTCTGACCTCTACCTCCACACATGCCAGAGCAAGTGGATATCTGTCAGTTTAAGATCGCCTGGTCCACATGGTGAGTTCTAGGCCAACAAGGGCTACATATTGAGACCCTGTCTCAGAATAAATAAAATAATCAAGGTGACACTTACACATTGGCACTAATTCTTGCAGTACACTTCAACTGCCTCATTATATACAAATAGGAAATAATTCTAAAAAAAGCTGACAACACAATTAGACATGAATACAAACACAGATCACGACTCTCCAAAACACTACAAAGGCTCTGATACCATGTGCATGCTTGAATAAACGTTTTACTTCAAGTACTATTAAAATGATATGGGCAAAAACAGCCAGTGTGTACATGAGGCAGGAAAAGAGCCGATTACTCAGAGTGTCTTAGCTTCCTCTTCATTAAAGATCCCGAACTCCCAGAGAGGCATCACCAACCATATGGTCGTGGCAAAGCTGTGACTGTTAATGTCCAGTAACCAAATTAAGACATGTTCTCTGAAGAAACTTTCCCAATTTCAGAAGTCAGCATCCTGAGATCCCTGTTTCAAATCCCCAAGGAAAAGTCAGACTCTAAAGAAAGCAAGTCTTTTCAAGTACTCCAGCACAGCACGTGTCTGTTTCTGTGGTGAATTCACTCACTTTTTATTGTTCTTAGTAATAGGTTCATTGAGAAAGTCTGCAGATACTCTCTCTGCCTCTCTTCTGTGTCTGCCCTATGGGAGAAAGCTCTCTTTCAAGTACTAACAGGCTCTTTCCCTTGCCACTGTGCACAAGATTTAGTGAAATTTCACAAGGAAACAATTATATCTTAAATCTCCTCCTATATACAAATACAATTTCAGGTCTGAGTATGAAGCTCAGTGGCACAGAACTAACCCAAGCTGCACCAGGCCCTGGGCTTAACCCTCAGTAACACACACACACAGGACATATGAAATTAGCACTAACAAGCATCCAGTCAAAACTAATATAAGCATGGTGGCTCAGACCTGTAATCACATCTACACTGAAGGCTAAAGCATGAGAATCCTAAATTCAGGGCCTTCCTTGGCAAAAAACAAGTTCAATGCCAACACGGGCAATTGACAAGACTTTGTCTCCGAAAATAAAACTGAAAACTCATATCTAACTACAGTTGCTTAATTAGTAAATGCCCTGAGTCGGTACAAACATTTAGTCTTACAACTGAGTTCACATGAGTTCAAAGTTTATTTCTTACACACCTACTCACACTAAGTGAGAACGTAAGAGCCTTCAATTTTAAATATTAAACTTCCACATATCTAGTATTCTATCACTTAAAGGTGAGATCTCTACATAGGGCTGGCAAGATGGCTCAGGGGGGAAAGGAAGTGCCGCCATGCCTGGCAACCTGAGTCTGATCCCCAGGATACATGTGGTGGGAGGAGAGAACGACAACCCACAAATACCAGAAATTCTTAAATATTTCTTCTTTAAAAAAAAAAAAATACGGTCCATGCACAAATGTTAACAGATACTTGGGAGAACTCAGACTGAAAGCCAAAATCTAATACCATAAAGCCCTCAATTACTATTAGAGAACAAAACTGAACTACAGACACTAATTTACTAGTTTTGATACTGTACTATAGAAGTCAAAACCATCAAGGAAAAGTATGTGAAGCACACAGGGGGCCTCTCCTAGCAACTCTACTTGTTTCAAAATAGGAAGATTTAAATTCTAAATTCCTACTGGAGAAAAAAAGGTTTGTGTGTAGGAAATGTCTTTTTTTTAAAAGATTTATTCATTTATTATGTATACAGTATTCTGCCTGCATGTATCTCTGCAGGCCAGAAGAGGGCACCAGATCTCATTATAGATGACTGTGAGCCACCATGTGGTTGCTGGGAATTGAACTCAGAACCTCTAGAAGAGCAGTCAGTGCCCTTACCCTCTGAAATGTCTTCTTTAAAAGAAGGCTGGAGATGTAACTCAGAAGGTAAGAACACTTGCTGTGAAAGAAGGAGGATCTGAGCTCCAATGCCCAGCACACACAAAAAAGCCACATATGCCAGTAACTCTGTTGTTGAGGATGAAGAAAGGCAGATCCCTGGAAGTAGCTCAGCAGCTGGTCAGATTAGTCTCCAGTTCAGTGAATGGTTCAGTGATTAGGAATACTTGCTCTTGGTCAGGCGCTTTAATCCCAGCACTCAGGAGGCAGAAACAGGAGGATCTCTCTGAGTTGGATGCTAGCCTGGTCTACAAAGAATTCCAGACAGCCAGGGCGGTTACTTGCTTTTAACTTGCTGCTCTTGTAGAGGACCCAAGTTCTGCTCCCAATACCCACATCAGGCAGCAGACTACAGCACCTCCAACCTCCATGAGCACCTGCATTCAAGTAACATACATACACATTGTGGTGGTTGGAATAAGAATGGTCCCCATAGGCTCATAGATTTGAATGCTAGGTTACCATGGGAGCAGCACTATTTGAAAGGATTACAAGTATGGCCTTGTAGGAGGAAGTATGTCACTGGGGGGGTGTTGGGGGTGGGCACTGAGACTTCAAAAACCCATGTCAAGCCCAGAATCTCTCAGAATGTAGTTCTCAGCTCCTTCTCCAGCACCACTTAGCCTGTCACCCTGCTTCTCGTTATGATTATGAACTAACCCTCTGGAACTGTAAGCAAGCCCACAATTAAATGCTTTCTTTTATGAAAGATGCTTTGGTTACAGTGTCTCTTCCAGCAATAGAACAGTGACCAAAACATACATAATTGAAGATACAAAATAAACAAAAAAATTTAGAATCTCCAGTTTTTTGTTTCTTTCTCTGTGTTCTTTTTCTGGTTGTTAAGTCTGTGAAAACCTGAAGTACAGACACTCAACAGATGTGGATCCAGACAGCAGCATGGCTTCCCATCACAAAGTCTCACAGCAAAGCCACAGGCCTGCTCACAACTGGCTCTAGGCCTTAAACAAGCTGATTCGACACACACAGCCTGTTTCCACAGCTATAAAACCGAAGACAACATGATTATATAAAACAATGTATTTCAGAGGGCCTGACCTGAGATACTATAATTAAATACTATTATCCTACTGACTAAATATTTCCCAACAAAGCCTTTTAATTACCATTAAAAAAATACAGGGCCTTACAATGTAGCTGCAACCTGATTAACTCAATGCAAATTGAAAATAATGTAAACCAAAAGTGCATTTAACTTTTTCCAATCTGGTAAATTGCCCATGCTTTTGTAAATAATTTCTCACCCGTGCCTACAAGCCCTAATTAAACTCACTAGGTCAACTAAACAGAAAAAAAAATGGCATGAACATGGAAAAGGGTCTAGTCAGTAAGATGAAAAGAATCAGCCAAAGTTGAGAGGGAGACAGGGAAATAGGAGTGAATATGATACATGTGTGAAGATGTTATAATGAAATCCATTACTATGCATAACTAATATATGCTAGTAAGAACTTCTTCAAAGTACTTTTAAAGGCTGGAGAGATCGTTCAGTATAGAGCACATATACTGCTCATGCAAAGCACCTGAGTTGGGTTACCAGCCCCCCCACTCCCCTTGTCAGGCAGCTCACAACTGCCTGCAGCTCTAGCTCCAGGGGTCTGACACCCTCTTCCAGGCTCACTGCCCCCCCCACACACAAAATATTAAAAATAAATATTTTAAGTGGTGTTAAGAGCTGAGAATATAGCTGTAGAATCCTTATCTAACACAATGCCCTGGGTTTGATAGTCAGCACCACCACCACAACAACAACAAAAAAAGCACCAATCTTCCCAAATAGCCCAGCCAGCAATCCTAGCAACACAATACACTTGCTGGAGCTTGTTTGGTCTCGTGATCCTGGGCAAACTGGGAGCTGTAACCCATTGTTGCTGCCCAGCATGATAAGGGTATCAGATCACAGAACAGTAGCCCTGAAAAAGGTCAAAATTCAAAGCACAGCTTCTACCAGACAGATACTTACTGCTTTTCTGTCACCATAAAGCCAAAACACTATAACGGGATGGTTTTGAGTCCAGGACTATGTATCTATAACCAAAATTCTTGAGAAGGCCAACAAATATGTCAACAGCTCCCCCAGAAAAACAATGCAAGGTTCATCCAGTCACCTGTCAACTTCTAGCTACTTAACAGGGGTTGCTGGTCACAGCATCATTTGCTTCTCAGACCAAGCATCACTTAACATAAACTTGGGATGGGTTTTTTCAGTATGACAAAACTCTTGGCTGGGGTTTCAGAACTGTACAACCTACTGATTTCTAATAATAATATTAATAAATTTCTAATAATCAGGCTTCATCTAAAAATATCACATATCATTAGTTCAATTTATTAGTACAGAAAGTACTAAGGGGCCAGCAAGATGTCTCAGTTGGTAAAAGTACTTGATGCCAAGACTGCCCGTGCACATACACACACACAAATAAACAAATGAATTTAATAAAATTCTAAGTTTCCCATATAATGAAAATTTCAAAACATTAGAACCATTTAATGAAAAGTGTTCTTATTCTGTTTTACACTCAAATAACTGATCTAACCACATCACTTAACCAGTGGTCACTGGCTTCACGGCCTGAGCCCAACAGCACTCTGGGTTTGGATCTAAATGCCATGAACTCTGGTCTATGTACTTTATTTTATGACTGAGACATAGTACTTATCCATCTGTATGAAGTATCAGAAGCTACTCTCTAAAGTAGAATTCCACCTTCAAGACTTTATAACTCTTTGTTGAACTCCAGCTAAGTAAATCAGCCACAAAAATATTTTAGGGGGACTGGAGAGATGGCTCAATAGTTAAGAGCACTGACTGCTCTTCCAAAGTACCCAGGTTCAAGTACCAGCACCCACATGGAACCTCACAACTGTCTGTGACTCCAATTCAAGGGGATCTGATGCCCTCATACAGGCATGCATGCAGGCAAAACACCAATGCAAATGAAATAAAAATATTTTAGGAGCAACCAAGTGTATCAGATTATGGCCTGGGTCTCAGACAATATTTTTAAAAATGTCAATTTTTTTAGATTAACGAAATATGGTGGCTATGCAGTGATGCCCTCTGTGTTTGCAGAGACACATACTGAAATATTTAGAGGTAGTTATGTTGCTGTCTATAGTTACTTTAAAATATTTCAAAATACAGGCCAGCCAGTTGGCGCACACCTTTAATCCCTACACTCAGGAGGCAGAGGCAGGTGGATCTCTGTTGAGTTTGAGGTCAGCCTGGTCTACAGAGTGAGTTCCAGGACTAGCTCCATAGTTACTGAGAAACCCTGTCTTGAAAAAAAAAAAAAAAAAAAGCAGGGCCAGTAAGGCATCTCAACAGGGGGGAAGGAACTTACAGATGAGCCTTACTGTAATATATCATTTACGATTTATTAAAGCTTGCCTGAGGATTCAGAAAGCAAAGTCAACCACAAGCCATAGAGGCCAGGCACACACCTTTAATCCCAGCAGCCAGAAACTAGGAGGTGGTGGTACACATTTTTAATCCTAGTACTTGGTTTAAGGGATAGATGGATTTCTCTGAGTTCAAGGCCACTCAGGGGAACATAAGATTGAATCAATCTAAAAGAGTAACAGATCACATGACTTTCATTCCAGCACTAGAGGGGTATAAAAGATAGAAGCAGGATCTTCAGTATTCAGTAGGAGGCATTCATTCTCCAGTCACACTGAAGATAGGAACATTCAGTCTCCAGCCACTCTGAAGAGAGCTTGTGGGTCAGACTTTTCAGCCTGAGGGAGAGGTAAGGATTAGTGGCCAGCTGCATTGTTTTTCTATAAAGTTTGAACCCAATATCAGTCTCTGAGTCTTTTATTTTTTTGTGTTACAGAGCCTGATGACTTGAGGTCAGTCTCCACCTAGTACCTGATAGAAGAAAAGAAATAAATATAATAGCTATTTCAGGAGACAACACTATATACTTCCTCCAAATGCAGGTTACTAACAAACTGTGTATCCACCCCACCGGAGAACCATTCTAAACTTCCCGTGGGGTCAAAATAAAATTGTATAAGAGCATATAGACTGAGGAGAAAACCCATGGTAATGTGAAGGCCCTGATGTCATGCATGTCAAAGTAATATCTTCTGATGGTCATGAATTAATCCTAGAAAGAGAACACATGCAGATAATCAGGAACAATAAGGCCATGTTAAGTGGACCAGGTCAGTTTGCTGAAAATGAAATCAAAGAGTCCAATTTTAGAGAGCTCCTTCCACACATGCTACGGAAAGTATGCATGTATTTTACCTACAAGGTCCACTACACTAGCGACTCCACAGACATTACCAAATTCCTAATTGCCCCTGAAACTGCACTAGAACTGTTGATGGCTGCAAACTTCCAAGATTGTTTAAAAGAAATTATAGCAAGCTGCTAATCACATATGTGTGTATGTGTGTGTGTGTGTGTGTGTGTGTGTGTGTGTGTGGTGACTGGGATTAACCCAGCATTCAGATGTCTGAGTTCCAAGCCAGTCTGGTCTATATAGGGAGTTTTAGGCCAGCCAGAGACTATCACAAAAATAAAAAATAAATATTCTGTGATATTTCTCAAGAAAGTAGGAATTAAATTTGAAAGTCACTGTCACATGTTTGTTGCAGTAACTGTTGGCAATGGTATTCAATATAACGTAACGTATCAAATTCAATGTACTGATGGTTTATTTTAAAAATGACACACACATACAAGTTGCAAAATAATGAAAACTAACCCAACAACAGAAGAATGAGTGTCACACTATGTAAAAGCAAACAGAAAGACACTGGACTGGGGCACTTCCAATGGAGCTCTCCAGACCTAGCCTCAGAGCATCTCAGGCTAACTATGCAAGGGAACAGATTAACAGAAACCCAGCAAGAGATTCCTCCTGCTTGTTAGCTACCTGACTGCTTAGCCATACAAACATATTTTACACTACATAAAGTCAGAATTCTACAGTACATGAGTAATCTTAGCCAATATTTTCTAGTATCTACTGAAATGCTCAACTTTACAAAAGTGCTTCCATTCAGATTTTACAAATAGGGACTAGGAAGATGGTTCAATGGGTAGACTGTTTGCTACACAGGCATGAGGACCTGAGTTCAGATCCCCAACATACATGCAAAAGCTGGGCACAGCAGTGCAAGTCTGCAACCTCAATGCTAGTGAGAAGAGGAAGCGCAGACAAGAGGATCTGAGGAGTCTATTGGCCACCAGCTTTGCCAATCAATGAGCTCCACGTTCAGTAAAATACCACGTCCCCAAAATAAGAAAAATTAGAGAAAAACAGAAAAGACACCCAATGTCAACTTCTTGCCTCCATGCAAAAGCTCACACTCACATGCACATATAAAAAGACCACTTCCAACAGGTGGTGGTGGCCCATGCCTATAATTCTAGCACTTGGGAGGCAGATTCGAGCAGATCTCTGAGTTCAAGGCCAGCATGATCTGCAGAGGAAGTTCCAGGACAGCCAGAGCCAAAAAGAGAAACCCTGTCTCAGGGTGAAAAAAAACAAAAGGACGGCGTCCAAGTTGTTTCCTGTTATCTAAAAGGAGTAAGAAACACAGAATGAAGCCCTTAGACACACAGAGACTATATGAATGAAGCCCTTAGAAACAGAGACTATATGAATGAAGCCCTTCCTCCCTGAAAGCCAAGCACTTCTCACTTTTACACATAGTACTGAGTGAACACCAGTGTGGATACAATTTCCTCCTTCATTTTAATGTTTACTTGGGACAGGATCCCAGAACTGAGATTACAGGATCAAAGGTCAAAAATCAATCTCCAACCTGCCTTCTACCTGCCTACTGGCACACAGTGGGTTCATATCTCCTGTCATGCCAACTTCAACTTCGAAATGGCTCAATTTTTATTCTGATAATTAATTTGGTTTTTGGTTTGGTTTGGTCTGGTTTTTGAAACAGGGCTCCTCTGTGTAGCTTTTTGGAGCCTATCCTGAAACTTGCTTTGTAGACCAGGCTGGACTTTTCTTAAAACTATTTCTGTTTTGAAGGATTTGTCTCATGTACCTAGGGTTTGTTGTTGTTTTGTTTGTTTGTTTTCCCAAGACAGGGTTTCTCTGTAGCTTTGGAGCCTATCCTGGAACTTTTCTGTAGACCAGGCTGGCCTTGAATTCAGAGATCCACCTGCCTCTGCCTCCTGAGTGCTAGGATTAAAGCCGTGCGCCACCACAGCCCAGCTTAATATGAATCCCTCATTTTCTTTTTCTTTTTTTCTTCTCCCCCTCCCTCCCCAGGAGCTGAGAACCAAACAGGGCCTACCACTGAGCTAAAACCCCAAATCCTTAATCTGGGTTTGGTTTCCTTTGTTTGTTTTAAGACATGGTCTCTGGCTCACCTGGAAATCACTATGTAGACCAGACTGCCAGTAAACTCAGATACTAAGTAACTGGGACAGCCTGATCTACATAGTGACTTCTAAGACAGCCAGGGCTATGTAAAGAGACATTGAAAAAAAAAATTAGTAAAACAAAAATAAAATTTTCCCTCACCAACATTTACTTTTCCATGACTTTTCACAAGTCATGTAATCTTCTGGGGCCTTTGTTTGCACATTTCTCAAGAACTCAAGAAAATCAAAATTAAATATATAGGGACCTTTCTTATACATGAGATGGGCAAAGTTTTGAAATTCCTTGGTTTGGCACAGTGAGAGTACAAGGAACACTTGCACATATTGCAAAGGGTGAGTACATTTTATAGACGTGTCTATAAAAATCAAAAATTCAGGACTGGGGAGATAGCTCAGTGGTTAAGAGCACTTCCAGAGGACCTAGGTTCAATTCCTGGCACCCACATGGCAACTCATTACTGTCTATAACTCCAGTTCCAGGAGACCAGACACCCTTATACAAGCATACATACAGACAAAACATCAATGCACACAAAATAAAAATAAATTTTAAAAAATTTTAAAAAGAGTCACATGTTCCCATACTCCTTAATCCATGAAGGCAACTCTCAAGAAAAGGTGTATAAGCAATGGCAACAATAAGCAAGAATGCTTATTATCAGGTGGATTATAAGGACAAAGAATGAACCAGAACCTGCTGGAGCCTCCCTCATCAGTTTAAGCAATACTTGAGCGTCACAGAAAATCCACACAGGGACATCTGTCATGAACTGGAGCCACTACAGTAGCATGACCTGGGAAAGACAGCCATGCTATGGTGGTAAGGAAACATCTTTGTGATAAGCATGTCCAAGTTCTTTTTTGTTTGTCTGTAAGGCTTTCTTAATTTTATTTAATTTTATGCATGTTGAGTGCTTTGCATACATGTGTGTATGTACACCATGTATGTTTGTGCCTGGTGGTCACAGAGGTCAGAAGAAGGTGTTGGATCCCCTAGAACTAGAGTTACAGGAGTTTGAGCCACCACGTGGGTGCTGGGAATCAAACCTGGATCCTCTGCAAGAGCAATTCGTGCCCTCTTACCACTAAGCCCTATCTCCTGCCCCCTTAAAAATTATCTGTTACAAGCACCTGTGTTTCTCAGCATAGTAAAAGGTAAGCACACTACACCATTACTCCAGGAGAGGCAGAAGGGGCCTGTCACATTCCTCTATCCTATCTGACCTTGTATCTGCTCTCTGTTTTTTAGAAATGTCCAAAGATAACAAGAATATCTCTAATTGTAATTTAAGTCCTAAACCACTATAATTCTATTGCAAGGTTCACAGAAAGGCCACTGACCACTAATGAAAAATGTCTAAATTATGGCCCATGTACCACAGGAGTATGTAGCATGGCTTGGTAAGGTATAAAATAAAAACACTTAATTCTTTTTTAATGTTTTGACACAAGGGAGTAGAGAGGTAAAAAAAAAAAAAAGAAAACCCGAAAAGAAAAATAAAAAATTACTTTTTTACAGTTCAGCCTCAAACCCCAGTTCTACATAGATGAACCCTGGTTTATATTATCCAGGCCACTGAGCTGTGTGAAACAGCCCAGCAGGGGGGGTGTGGGAAGGCACCCTGAGCCTCTACCTGCAGGCTCCAGGAATCGTTCTGCTGAGATGCAGCAACAGCCAGGAAAAGGATTTCCACACGAGCACTCAGAGTGTGCATCTTACTGGTCTCCACTTGCAGCCACAAGCAAACAAAAAAAGAGTATTTCAGAGCTTTCCAGCCACACTTCTAAGGATTTGTTAGAAAAAAATCAGTGTGTGTTGCCTTTCTTAAACATGGCACTTGTAGGCTACAACTATTTATCTAGACTTTAAAAGGACTCACTATCAATTCTCCTTGAGGGAGTGATGGTAGAGGACACACAGGAACAAGAATGTCAACATTCACACCCACGTGCTCACCTGGTATATGCCTGTCACAGCAGGAAAGACATCAACCCAATCTGTCATTGGGCACCACAATAACAGGATTTTTAACATTACAATTGCTTTTGAAATTGGCAAATGAAAATTTAAAAAAGAAAAGTCAAACCTTAAACTTCAATCAAATATTTTTTAAATCTTCAAATCAGAAAAGGGTTCCATCTTTTAAACATACCATGCCTACAATCTTCGTCAGCTTGCCTGTAGTTTTTCTACAAAAAGAAAAGAGAAGAAAGACACAAGGTAAAATGACATACTCCAAAGGCTATTATTAAACCGTTAGCTCAATGGTCTCTGAGGAGACCCATGAACGCTGTCAGATCACTCCCAGGATCTCTGAGGATGACCTCCTCCACACAAGAATCCAACACCCCCGGGCACTTCTCCTCCACCTACTCTACAGCACCTCACCCTCACCTTAGGTAGCCGCTCTATGTCTGTCAGACGGCATGTACTCAGTCAATACGTACTAAATGGGTGAGTGCCATAATACAATCTTCAAAGTTTAGAAACAGTAATTGCCACTGAGAATATTCAGCAATCATCAGGTACTTTTTTATCTGTTCAAGCCCAAATTAGCTGATTTGTACAAGTGGCCAGCATGTGGTTCTACACTGGTACATGACAGCTCTCTCTGGTGTGCTGATGGGGATGTCCTTTTGTATGCTGTAAATGTTTCTCTTATTGGTTGATGAATAAAGCTGTTTCAGCCAATAGACAGGCAGGAAATAGAGGCGAGGCTACCAGACTAAGAGAAGGCTGGGAAGAGTAAGGCAGAGAGTTGCCAGGGAGACGCACCATGTAGCTGCTGAAGGAGTAACATGCATTATGGGTAAGCCACAGCCTTGTGGCAATATTTAGTTTAATAGAAATGAGTTAATAATTAAGAGAGAGCTATCCAATAAGAAGCTTGAGCCATCGGCCAAACAGTTTATAATGAATATAAGCCTCTGTGTGTTTATTTGGACCAGGCAGGATTGAAACTGTCTTCAAATGGCACCCAATGTGCGCTGCAGGACCAGGCAGTGTATCAATAGCATTCACTCACCAGTTGCAGGAATGAGGCGATTCTGTAGAGATAACTCTCGATCTGGATGCGCTCTGCCTCTAATGCACACGGCCCTGCAACGTCTGCCATGGAGTACTGGCCAAGAGAAAGCAGGGCCTCTGAGCAGTGCTGGAGGGCCATGTCATAGTCCTGCCTCTTCAGTGACTCACACGCTTCTTCACATGACTTTTCAGCTCTTCTGTCTTCCATGACTCAGGGACAAAAATCCTAAACATGAGAGAAGAGTGGGTGTGATTTAAAGAGTTAGTACAGACCTGGAAAGATGGCTCAGCACTTAAGAGCACTTGCTACTCTGGCCTCAAGACCTCAGTTCAGCTCCTGGGCAACTCACAACTATCTGTAATACCAGTTCCAGAGGATCTGATGGTTCCTTTGGGTACCTGCATGCATGTAGTGAACATACTGGTGTAGACATATATGCAAAAAAAAAAAAGGTTTGTAATAAACTATGTTAAGGGCATTTGTTTTTTAAAAAGGAAACAAAGACTTAGTTATTATACTATAGCTCCATCCCCATCCCCATCCCCATCCCCACCAACTGAATGCCTAGCTGAGCGCCTCCTTCAGCAAGCCTCTGCTCATGGCAGCTGAGCAGCAACTATGGACAGTGTAAAATCTAACACATATATTTTATGATGTCTTTACTAAGCTCCAGGCTGCAATATCAACCACAAGCAGCCTGGATCAAATTCTTTGTAAGTGAAATAAATGAGTGTCACAAAGGACAAATTAAAAAAAAGATTCCACTTTTGTGACCAAGAGTAGAAATGTTTACTATCTAAATCTTCAAGTGTTAGCCTCTCTTGAGTCTTCACTTCTGCAGCTGCAGAAAATCAAAGCCCATATAGCTTAAGACCTTTTCACGCCCTTAAAAAACTAGCAGAAGTTCAAGCTGGGCATTGCTTTAACTCAGCCCACCTTCCCAGAGGGCCAGGTCCTAGGCTAACAGCCTCACACATAGAGATGGAGTGTGAGGCCACCACTTTCCAGGATCGCAGGTTAGCTGAGAAAGGAACCAAAGCCCAAGTTGACAAAGATCAGACTCATTCCATCTGATTCCTGAGCTGGCTCAAGAGGAACAAGAGTTCACTCTACACATGACAGCAGGAGCAAACTCCAGCTTTGCAGGGACAACAGTTCAGCTGAACCAGAGGGCTCAGTGGGTAAGACGCCTAATACCCAGCCTGGTGGTGACCTGTCAATCTCTGACAACCACATGGTAGAAGGACCAACCTCCACCAAGTTTTCCTCTCACGTCTACATATGTGTGCACACACACACACACACACACACACAGATGTAATTTTTAAAAATTTAAAAAGGAAGCATTCAGCTGAACTCAGAGAGGAGATAATCCACACATTAAACACAAGAAGCCAAGAAGAGGTAGGAGGAGCTATGGAACAAATAACATGAGAAATGAAATGACAGTCTACCCACGAGTGACAACACATGAAGGACAGGTTGTAAACAAAGTAGGAACCTATCAAAGACCCAATGGCAGAGCTCCTGGCTAGCGTGTACATGGTTCTGAACTTGATTCCTAACACTATGAAAAAGGAAAGGAGAGCCGGGCGGTGGTGGCGCACGCCTTTAATCCCAGCACTCGGGAGGCAGAGGCAGGTGGATCTCTGTGAGTTCGAGGCCAGGCTGGACCAACAGCCTCCAAAACAATACAGAGAAACCCTGTCTTGTAAAACCAAAAAAAAAAAAAAAAAAAAAAAAAAAAAAGAGAGAGAGAGAGAGAGAAAGGAAAGGAGAAAAGAAGTAATCTATCAAGTATCAATCCTATGAAGAAAAGGCTAACAGGAGAAGAGACGACAAACACTGACCACCAAGAGTGCACAGGAGCCTAGAGTCAGTGAGATGGCTCAGTGGACCATCCTGACAACTGGAGTTGGGTCTCAGGGAGCCACATAACAAGAAGAACCAACTCCCTGGGAGCTGTCCTCTGACCTCACACATGCTATGTGGCAGGTGTGCACACCTCCATACGAACGAAAATAAATAACCTTTCATAAAATAGAGTTTTGAGATTGACTAAAACCCAAGCAACTGGGCACACCCGTGAGGGATTTTTCTTGGCTGGATTATTTGAGGTGGGAGGACCACCCTAAATCTGGATCAACTGAGGTCAGAGGACACAACTTTCTGGTGACAGCCTACATAAAAGGACACAGAAGGAAGCGTTGCCCACTTGCCCTTACTCCCACTGGCAAATATCTCTCCAGCTGCTGAGGTAATCCTTTGCTGGTGCTAGAACCTACTTCTTCATGGTTCCAACTGAAGATGGGCAGCTCTCCAGGACTTCCCTGGACTCCAGCACCAAACCAGGACTGCTGAGGCAGTCAGGCAGTCTCATGGACTACCGGATCCCTGCATTCTCCACTGCTGGACTTTTGAACAACATCCTGTAAGCCAGTCTAATAAATCCATGTATATTTGTTCATTCTTTCAGTTCTGTTCCTTTACAGAACCCTGATCAATACACAAGTTTGTTTGTGTTTGTTTGTTTGTTTCAAAAGGAGAAAGAGAGAGAGGGAAACTGCTAAAACAGTTCAAGAAAGGGACTCAGCTAGGATAGCCCAACAACATGCTTAACCCATGTATTCCACAGTTTAAGGAGAGAACCAACTCCCAAAAGCTGTCATCTGACCCCCAGGTGAACCTCTGTGAGTTCCAGGACAGCAAGAATTACTTAAATAGAGATACCCTTGGGGTGTGGGGGGTGAGAGATGGCATCCCAAGACAATCACTAATTTATGGTGTGCAAAGTTGGTACCAGAAATGTTTGGGACTGGCTAGTTCTGTGCTAGAGAGCTACCCTGTGTACAGAGATCTGTTAGACAGCATCCACAGCCTCCTCCTACTAGAGGCCAGCAGCACATCCCTAGACTTATAATAATGAAAAATGTCTCTAGACACTCACAAACATCTTCCTGGGGAACAAAATCCATCTCCGTCGAAAGCTTTAGATACACACAGAGAAAACAGAAAAGGAAAGGGATGGCAGATCCAGCTACTAAGGAGACCAAGTGCCAAGTTCAGACCCTGCCTAGGCTAAGAGGACAGCCTGGACAACTTAGCAAGACCCTGTCCCAAAATAGAGTAACTAAAAGGGGCCACCAAGACAGCTAAGGTGCTCGCGGCCAAGAATGAGTTTGATCCTTGGGACCCAGATGGGGGAGGAGAAGTCACCTCTAAGTTGTCTTCTAACCTAGATAAATAAATGTAACTTAAAAGTATTTTTACCCAGAGTCACACAGAGAAACCCTGTCTAGAAAAAAAGGTTTTTTTTTTCATTTTCTTTTTCATTATGTGCATGAGGGTCATGTGAACACATGAATACAGATACCCTTGGAGGCCAGAGGTGTTGGATGTCAGAGACTGGAATTACAGGAGGTAGTGACATGACCAATGAGGGTTCTGGGACTTGAACTTGGGTCTTCTGGAAGAAAAGAAAAATGCTCCTGGCCACCTAATCATTTCCCAGCCCGTTTCAGGGTTTCTGAGACAGTGTCTGGCTTACAACTTAAGAGCCATCTCTCCAATCCTTACATTGTCTAAGATTTTTTTGTTTGTTTCTGTGCATGAATTTTAAAAACAGTCTTCAGTAACAAGAGGGCTGGCTGGGCTTATCCTCGGGTTAGGTGTTTGCCATACAAAAAGACCTAGAATAAACTCTCAGAACCCTGGGAAAGAGAGACAAATCACAGATCCCAGTTAGTGAATACCCCCAAGAGCTCACAGCCCATGCCTAGATAAATACTATAGACAGGGGTAGCTGCTCAAGCTGAGAGCTGTGCTCAGGAAGATGCAGAGCACAAACTGAATCAAGGGCCCCACATTAAAAGGTCACTGGCCTGTCACTCACTACAGGAGCAAGTGACTTAGCCCAAGTCCCTGGAAATGGATAATAAAACCACTAATACCTCCCTCCATTGATTACTCTGTGAAGTGCTTAAAATGATACATGGCATGGCAATTTCCCTAAACTTGTATAAAACTGAAATCACTTAACACTCAGTACTGTCCAGCTAGAGAGATGGTTCAGAGGTTAAGCACACCCAGGTTCAGTTCCCAGTGCCCATATGGCAGTTTATAACCATCCATAACGCTACTTCCAATTACATATTTGCAGGCAAAACATTCATTATGGTAGTTTAAGAGTAATTGGTCCCCATAATCTCATATAGTGTGGCGCTATAAGGTGTGACCTGGTTGGAGTGGGTATGGCCTTTCTGGAGGAAATGTGTCACTGTGAGGGTCTGGGCTTTGAGGTGTCCTATGCTCAACATACTGCCCAGTATCTGAGTCTACTTCCTGTTGCCTTTTTTTTTTTAAAGATTTATTTATTTATTACGAATACAACAACACCCTGCCTCCATGTACGTCTACACATCAGAAGAGGACACCAGATCTCAGTACAGATGGTTGTGAGCCACTATGTGATTGCTGGGAACTGAACTCATGACCTCTGGAAGAGCAGTCAGTGCCCTTAACCCCTGAGCCATCTCTCCAGCCCTCCTGTTGCCTTCTGGTCAAGATGTAGCTAACATCATGCCTGCGTGCATGCCGCAATGTTCTCTATGATGATGATAATGGACTAAACTTCTAAAACTGTAAGCCACCACCTCAATTAAACGTTTTCCTTTATAAGAGTTGCCGTGGTCATAGTGTCTCTTTACAGCAATAGAAACCCTAACTAAGACCTTCATACACTAAAATAAATAAATCTTTAAAAAGAAATGCAGATTTCTAGCACTTGGGAGGCAGAGGAAAGTGGATTTCTATGAGTTCAAGGCCAGCCACATAGAGTCTTGAAAAGACAAGACAAACAAAAACCCTAAATTATAAAACAAATTCAGTACTATTGTTAAAGAAACTAAATATCATCCTGTGTGATAACTTCACCTACTTGACAAAGGAATGATTTTCATCCCAATAAATAGGTAATGAATATAGAAGCAAGGCCACTGACCCTACAGACATTGTACTCACATGCACAAACCCACATGTGGACACATACATAGACAAATAATTAAAAATACAGTAAGAACAGAGGAATCCTGTCTTGGAAAAACAAGAAAAAGAAAAAGAATACAATACAATAAGAAGAGCCAGGCATGGTGCTGCACAGCCTTAATCCAAGCAGTCAGGAGGCAGAGACAGGTAGATTTCTGTGAGTTCGAGGCCAGTTCCAAGAC